ATGGGTCTCTACTATGTAGGATCGGACTCTACCTACCACGTGTGGAGCAGGGGCAAAGATTGCACCTCGAAGCCATGATCCACCGATATAACCTTCAACGGAATGGTTCATGTTTGGATCTCCACACGGAACTCACGGACATGCGCCATGCCCTACACTTCCACCCAGCCCTCCACATTGTTCTTAACGCTCACCGAGCCGTCCGTGGATCTGTGAAGGCAAGATTTACGTGGCTGGTGACTCCGCATAACTGCACTTCAAGATAAGCCTTCTTAGTCAACAAGTAGCACGGAAGCACCAATCGGCGTTGACCTGTCAGCCTATCAGTATTATGGAGAACATTGCCAGCCGGTTCAACGTTGCACCCTATCACGAACGCGGGACCATCGGTGACCAAGCCGAGCATACCAATATATCGATAACCCACCCTTCTACCAAAGTAACAACGCAGAGACCAACCAAAGGGTCGCTGTAGCTTTTCCACATCGCATTCTCCATGATGGGACCCGCCAGCCGCGACCCGCGATACCAATCATACCCGGCTTCGGTTCAATCCCTGGGGTGTACGTCATATATATTCCACGCTGCAGCTGAAGGCAAAAGCAATTCAACTCCACGAGTCTGTGATATGTGAGAGACTACTGGTTGGAAGCAAGGTAACACCACTATCTCGACCAGGGGTTCCCGAAATCGAGTTACCCCTCAGCTCGCTTCTCAAAACCCTGGCATGCAGATGAGACTCCCGCTCATGATATCCTGTCTCGTTCCTAGCGGCGCGTCATTTCACTAATATAGGTTAGCTTTCATCCGAGGAAGAAATCAATACTTTTGTCAGTTGGTAATGTCAAAACGACGCTCAAGGGTTTTCACCCCGATGCAACCATATCACCGGTGTCGGGATGATCAGCGTGAAGGTATCCTAGCCAGTGCCCGTAGTTCTGTTTGGGTGAATAATATTTAAGTTCAACGGCACACATCGAGTTTCCTCCTGACCGGGCGAGATATTAAGAGCTATCCCGACAATTTGAGTCCTCGTAAAGTAGGCAGGAAGTTTAGTTCTGCCTTTAGAAACAATGGGCTTTTCTTCAATATCCCGGGCCTTTGGCTTGGGAGCTCTGCTACTCCTGAGCTCTGACCTCATACCACAAGTCAATGGATTGCCAAAAACTCCATGGGCTCAACAGCGGGCCAAGGGGCATGGCAGGAAAGCCCTCAGTCAAGCCATCAACAAGCGCCAGTTCGCCAACAGCTCTGAGCCCGCTGACTGCATCCCTCACAATCCTCTCGACATTGAGGCACCCAAAGAGAACATTTGGAGTGGCCTGACGGGCCCAGAAGCCGCAGGCGTCACCCAATGGCTTTTTGCTCAGAAGGAGCTAAACCTGACTGTCAGCGACAACGCTACAGCGTGGGACAACACAATGTAAGCAATCTCAATGGTATCACACACTTTTTAATCATTTTTAACCGGTTTAATAGTGTCTTGGTAGAGCTTATGCAGCCTAACAAGTCTGATGCGCTGGCCTATATTGACGGAAGCGGTCCCGCGCCAGCCCGCTACGCTCATGTGGTACTTGACTTCCGTGCTTCTGAAGATCCGGAATACCAAGACATTCTCGTTGGCCCTTTACCAGTCATCAATGGCATCACAAAGTGGGAACGTCTTGAGTACCCGTACACCCGCAAGACAAGCGGAAGAGTCCGCAACCTGGACGCCGATGACGATGCCATGCAGGAATGGCTCTACAAAGCTGGCAAGAGCGTCGCTGACATCACCAAGGACCTCTGGAATGCCACGGCCCAGGGACTCGATAACGACACACTGTCGATCTGGGGTATCGACCCATACTACCAGGATGACGGCCGCGTTCAGCGTTGGGACACATTCTGGAGCATCCCCGGCTCCATCTTTGATGTACAGTCCATGTTGCCCATGGGACTATTCTTCATGTCAGATGTCACGGGACGTGACCCTTCCAAATGGTTCATTGAGGGATGGTATTACAACGGTATCTTTTATGAGACTACGGAGGAGTTCCGCAACGCATACTGGAGCGGCAATGTCGAGAAGCTTGGTGGCAACTTCGCCGGTGACTGGTCAGCTACCGATCAGCAGGGCGAGGTCCTCCCCAGAGACACCATGGCTCCTCCGACATCAATTGCTCCCCAGGGCGCTAGGTACTCTGTCGACTCCGCCAGGAAATATGTCGAGTGGATGGGCTGGAGCTTCTACGTCGGCTTCACTCGCGACACGGGAATGGCTCTCTACGACATCAGCTACAAGGGCCAGAGGATCATTTACGAGCTTGGTCTTCAAGAGGCTATGGCTCATTATGCTGGTAAGTTTTCTATCACGAATCACGGAAATTACGAATATCTGACCAGTCCGCAGGAAGCGACCCCACACAGTCTCACGTGGCATACCTCGACAGTTACTACGGCTTCGGTCCTTTTGCATTTGAACTCCTGAAGGGTTACGACTGCCCGTCATATGCGACATACCTAAACACCTCTTTCTACGTGGATGAGACCACGCATACGCATCTGAATAGCATCTGCATGTTCGAGTTCGGAGCCGACTACCCGATAGCTCGACATAGTTCAGCAGAGTATGTAGCAGCCACAAAGAACGTGTACTTCACCATTCGCTCTGTTTCGACCGTCGGCAACTACGATTACATGTTCAGCTACAGCTTCTTCCGTGACGGCAGCGTTGCCGTCGAGGTCCGCGCCTCCGGCTATATCCAGGCCGCGTTCTACGCCAAGAACGACGAATACGGCTTTAAGATTCACGACCAGCTGTCCGGGAGCATGCACGACCACGTGATCAACTTCAAGGCCGACTTTGACATCTTTGGCACCGAAAACACCGTTCAGCGCATGCACCAGGTGCCCACGACCCAGGTATACCCTTGGTCCAAGGGCAAGGCGTTCAACACGATGAAGTTGGAGCGGGAATTTATCGAGAACGAGGACCAGGGCCGTTTCGACTGGAGCTACAACAACCAGGACCAGCTCTTCGTCCTGAACCAGGACGTGAAGAACAGACACGGCGAGCACCGCGCCTACCGTGTGCTCCCCTACACTGGCTCCGCACATTTGACGGTCAAGGATTCGAATATTCTGAAAAACTCGGGCAAGTGGGCCGAGTACGACATGATGGTTTCCAAGCGCAAAGACACGGAACCTCGCAGCAGTCACCCGTACAACAACCAGGATACCGAGAACCCCCCTGTCAATTTCGATGCATTCTTCGACGGAGAGAGTTTGAACCAAACGGACCTTGTCCTTTGGTTCAACCTTGGCATGCACCACGTTCCTCACACTGTAAGTTCGAACAGCAATGCTTCATGGGTCGAACGGATGATACTGACTCGGTCAACAGGGCGACTTGCCTACCACGGTCTTCACCACCGCACACTCTGGGATCCAATTCATGCCTGCCAACTATTTTGATATTGGCCAGAACGTTGAGACGGTCAACATGGTCCGCATCAACTACGCCAACGGCACCACCACCGATGTCATCACTTTTGGAGCCGAGACGGACGCCTGCGCGCTGGACTACGAGCCTACTCAGGTTGATCTGTGGGACTACAAGGGAGATGTCGTTGTTCGAAAGTTCCCTTACTCGCCGGATGACCCATACTACGAGACAGACAGCATCGTCTAAGGGATCTATTTCTCGATTTGACTGAATGATGTCGCTTTTTTGGATATTTTATGAGAAATACGAGGCTATGATGAATCTAATTACAGTATTATTTGATACATATGATAATAACGGACTTGACTCATGCATAATTATGCTGATGTCTAATTAGTATAACGTCCATGATCTCTGTTGCCGCCGACGTTCCGGCGCCAAAAGGTCGTTCGCGTATGCATCCAGGCCATGGTTGAAGTGAAGTCAGATTCGGCAGTTGCTCTGCATTATCAGGTATTCTATACTGCATTAAGATATTGAGATCTGGCATAGGTCAGAGGTGCCCCGTATCGGGTTCTACGTATCTTGATATTACATACATATGTATCGGGTGAACTGCACTAGACTGCTGATGGGGGTTTAGAGCGACTATATCCATCAATAGAGTCATATTGATTCTAGGCTCTATGGCCAATTACCTGATGGGTACAGCTTACAGCCACACTCGTGAAATGGGCCACGGAGCTCTGTCGTCCTAGAGTTGGCAAGACTAAGGCATGGCCGGACTATACAGACGAATTACAACCGCAATGACCCAATCACATTTTATGTTGCCCTGTTTCTCTGATGACCAGCTGTGGATTCTTTAGGCTATAGCCAACTGATCACGGAACTGAAATTGCTGTACAAATCGGCAATACTAGCTGTACATGGTCCTGGTCCAATTGCCATGGCGAGCAGTACTTGTAGATTCTACCGGGTCAATCTGCTACCAGACTCTGTTGTTATGCGTTCAGGAAGGTCTCTTGGCATTGGATGACCCGGACAAAGCAGATGTCACGAGTTTGAGCACACAGCAGGTTATAGGAGAAGTGGGGTTGGAGATGTCCAAGTTCAGTAAATACTGTCGGGCAGTATAGCTGCTATACCTTGACTAAAGGTGAAACACCTGCTGAGTGGCACATGACAGAGCTGCTCTTATGAGCCTCTAGTCATGAAGTTCTCGTGCTACTAGACACATGGGCGAGAGGCTTCAACATCTGACGCCCCTTTCACAGCGGCCGCCCCTGCTGCTCACGCTTTAATGGTTCCCGTGAAGCGCAGCGGCCCTCCTCCACCGGGCGACCTGGAGTCGCCAATCCTAATGTCAATAGATGACGTCCACAGCTCCCCAATGCCGTGCTTGCCGTGATCGGTGGAAGTGGACCCGGCCCACTGGCTGTTTCCCGTTTCGCTTAGATAGCAAAACTTGATGAGTTGCGCACTAGAGTGTTTCTGCGTGCCCCAAGAACAAAATGAACAAACAAATAAGAAATACACACATAGATAGATAGTCATTGAAGTGTTTAAATGAAACCTGGGACTATGCCTACATGTTGATTATTCAATTTAAGCTAGACTAGCTACAAGCTACAAGTGAAAAAACGGAAAACTGAAACCCCGTTAATTGGCGACAATTCAAACCAAAGCAGGCGGCGGAAACATCCAAATGTCAAAAGAAGCCACCGCCTCGCGGGCGGAAGCTAACAGCCCTGCCGAACCTGTTTAACGCTACCTCCGAGCCGGCGCCCACGATGTATGAGCAGCGGTCCAGCTGCTCGCGGGTCTCGAAGCCGACTGGCCACTGGATTTCCATATCCTCCCTCTTCTGGGTCTTGGGCCTCCCGTCCCTGATGCGCAGCTTTTCGAAGAAGACATAAGCGGCGTAGAAGACGCTGCTCGTGTTGCCGGCGACCGGGCCCTCCCTTCTCAGGAAGTTGTCGAGCAGGTTCGGCGCGATCTTGTGCGTCGAGCCGGGGGGGTAAGCGGCCTTGACGAGAGCGCGCAAGAAGGCGGCCTTGGTGACGCCGTCCCGGCGGAGCTGGCGGCGGATCTTGGTGCGCACGTCGTCGCAGGTGTCAAAGATGGGGACGCTCATGTCCTCGTCGCCGTTGAGGTGGATGCCAGAGAGGTCCGGGAGTGGGCCCAGGTCGTCGACCTTCTTGGTCGCCTTATTTTTTTTGGGAGCCGGTTCCGCGGTGGCGGTGGCGGTGGCAGCGGCGCCGGCGTCACCATTGGCGGCGTCTGACTTGCGCTTGCGGGACCTGGAGGCTGGCGGCTTCCCAGCGGGCTGGATGAGTGTCGCGGTGTTAGTGTTGATGTCACACACTGGTGCAAGAACACAGTCTCAGGCACAACGCAGATGGATGCACGATGTGCCCAATCGAGGACCACTTTGAAGCGTTCCGACTTACCTTGGCGCTGCTGGGAGCCCCGACGCGGTTCGAGTCGGTCTCGCTAAGCGGCGTGGGGGCAGCGGCGACAGCTTCAGCAGGCATTTCTTCTTTTTCCTTTTTTTTTTTTTTGGGATGTGATTTATTCTGACACGGATGCAATTGGGGACGGAAGCGGGTCCAGTGCAGTGGGCTGAAGTTGGTCTTTCCTTTCGGATGTTGTCCGTGGAACAAACAGGTCACGAAGAAGCGATTCTATTACAAGAAGCTCCGCTGCACTGCGGAATAGGGTAACTAGAGTCTGAGGTGCGAGCGGGGTTATTAATGGGCTGAGATGAGGGATACCCGTGCGTTAGAGTGGGGCCACACAACACACTTCTCGAGGTAACGACGAGTCTGGTGTGTGGGCCCGTGCCACTCTAGCGGACGAGTAAGAGACGAGACGAGATATGTCGTCATTGGTCGTCATTACAGTGACAGGCACGGACCAGGGATTGTATAGACGGACGACATTGGAGAGAGACATGGAGGCACCTTTTGTTTTTTTCTTTCTTTTTTTCTTCTCTTGCTCCTTGCAACGCCATTGAGGAAAATCACTACTTTGGTTGTGCAGGTACGGAAGGTTCGATCAACATGGCTACGCGGGGCAGAAGATGCTAGAAACATGGCGAGTTGGCCTGATAAGGTAGCTTGGCTAGGCAAGGGAGTTGGGAAGAAAGAATGGAAAGAATAATGGGAAAAGGGGCATAGGATAGCACGGCATGGTGGTCATGTAGCGTTGGGAGGCTTCATCTAAATTAATTAGACTGGATGGGGTACTTTCTGACAGCTATTGCCAAGAGTTGATGAGTTGTGATTTCCCTCGATGAGAATGTGCCAACCACACAAGTCGGCAGGAGGCATCAGCGGCAGGAGTACTACTATGTACATAAGGAAGGCAAGCAGGTACGTATTACTCCGCACCTCGACGACCTCGACGGCGTTTCAGGCTGTACAAGTTTGGGCCAAGGGGCTGTTGACCTGCACCTGGCGATTGCATTGCATTGCATTGCATTGCAGGCAGGCGCCGGCTAATTCTCCCATCCTTCTCAGAGATCGGGCGGGTGAGGTAAGCAGCGCCGGTTGGAACTTCCGAACCGCGCAGCACAAACACCTGTAGACGGTACCAACATTAATTACAGGCAGTAGGTACTTACCTACTCGGAGTAACTTTACTCGGTAAAACGTACTGCTTTCCTAACCGCCAGCGGCCATACGTGTCTCCCCCTGGCGAACCCATGACGACGCCTAAGGTAGGTAGCTACAGGTACGAGCATCTAGCCTAAAAGGTGCCATTTATGTGCATGTTTGTTGACCGGCAAATGCCGTCGGGCCCTTGGGAAGCAGCTTTTCCCTATACCGACACCTAAGCCATACTTCACACCAAGCCCCTGGGACAAGGAGGCGATCCACTCCTCCTTCGTCAAGATGTTCGTAGCGCGCCTGCTTACGTGTGTACATTACCTAGACTTATGAGCTCCTCGCCCTTGGCCACCACACCACCCACATGCCACTCAACACGGGCCGAGGGCACACATTTTTACACGCCCCGGACCCGGTCTGGCTTTGCAGAGTCCCGGATAGATTGCATATGCCTACGTCTGACGATGCGTTGGCGGACGTCCGCCCACCGTCGACCGACATGGTCGTGACCAATGTCAAGACCGTACCTGCATTGGCGACAGCTGATCCATCTTCCGTACACAGACGAACCCACACGAGCCCGTATCGAGACGTCGTCAAGCCTCAAGTCGGGTCGGGTCTTTGCCCAAATTGCGTAATCCAACAACCGGGACCCGCTCCTTTACAACTGCGTACGAAGGAACGTCTAGACACTGTCACCGCTGCGGGCCACGCACCCTTGAGGACTTAATTTTTGGTTGCTACAATTGCGAAATGGCTTCTACTGCGTGAGGCTCCTCATTGGTCTTGGACCCCAATCTGTAGGTCTCCAATCAATCCGGTGTGCATTGCCGCCGTTCGAGCCTGTCTAGATCTTGACACTGCGGCCAACCGGGCATACCAGGCATCCGTCATCTGCACTTGAACAGAAGGAAATGTGAGCGTACAAGCGCACAAGGCCTGCACCCCTACAACGTGGGCTGCCTTTCCGTCGTTTCTTCCGCTGCTATCTTTCGAACTCGCAGCCACCTATGTTTGAATTAATTCTTGTTGCCATGGCCGTCGCTCCTGTACTCCGAGTTGCTCGGTTGCCTTAAACTGGTCCGTCTATTTACTATTATCAAGTCCGATAAATCACCAAGGCCAATCTTGAGCTGATCTGCACCGGATCTTCCTGAGAAATGCTACAATGATCGCCCAACTCGCACCGCACAAGCGGGCTGCTACCGCTTTTGCGCCTCTGACGGCGCTACCAGGCTCGGCGGCTTAGCCCCCACCCAACACTGCATGCACTGCGCGGGATGCAACCTCCACCACCTTCATTTATGCTGAAACCACTTATTCTCGTCTTGAGTGCTCGGCACAGCCATGATTCCCACCTTTCCTTCTTTCTTCCCACCTATGGGCACCGTTCCAGTCCCGATAGGTTCTCTTCGCTCTCTGATTTTTTTGTTCTTTCTCTTTTCTCGGTTCGGGATCCCGAATCAACAGGCGGGGCACATGGCGGCTCCACGCCCCCTCCCCCCCGTTTCTTGATGCAAGGAGAGGCGCCTCCTGCTTCGACGTCGAGTCTCGCCGGAAACCTCTTAACCACAACTCCAACCATGAACTCGTCGAATCTGGTGCCCATCCCTGCGCCTGTCGGCGGCCCGGTCAATCTGGCAAGCTTGGATTCCGTCTGGCCAATGATTGACACGTGGGCATAGTGGATATGGCCGCCCCTTGCTTTCCTCCGTGATGGACGAGGATGGAGCCGCAGCAGTCCTAGCATCAATATGGGATGGGCGGCCGTTGGCGCCATGTCTAATGTGTCGTCGAAATTGCTCTGCATCCACGTACGTTAGGCTAACGCCGGTACACAACGGCCGGACCCCTCGCTCAATCCGTAGTCCATCTCGAGATATAAGACTCCCTCCTCCTCATCGTTGCTTGCCGTTCCGTCCTCTCCATCCCACAGGCTTTTCCGCAGCTTTCCATTCCCACATTCTTTTCCGCTTTTCGGCACCTTCCTTTCATTTGATACAATTCACTCTCTTCTTCATTGATTGAAGTTCAACTATACGGCTTGACGTCATATCCTTATCTCGCGACCAGAACCCAATCCCAATCACTCAAACCAACCACCAACTTTTGGAAAGTTTATCTGCAAACATGTCTTCCTTCAAGAGCTCCGTTGTCCTTTCCGCCCTCGCTGGGGCTGTCTCCGTCATGGCTCACGGCCACGTCGTCTCCTTCACCGACGGCTCACAGCAGTTCTCCGGCTACGACGTCACCAAGATGGCCTACATGAATCCTGCCCCCGACGTCTACGGTTGGTCCGAAACCGCCACCGACAACGGTTTCGTCGCTCCCTCCGCCTACACCAACCCCGACATCATCTGCCACCGCGGCTCCAAGAACGCTGCCTTGACCGCCAAGGTTGCCGCTGGTGACAAGCTCACCGTCTTCTGGGACACCTGGCCCCAATCCCACGTCGGCCCCATCATCGACTACCTCGCCCCCTGCGGCGATAACTGCGCCACTGTTGACAAGAGCTCCCTCGAGTTCTTCAAGATCCAGGAGGCCGGCCTCAGCAGTGGCAAGTGGCCTACTGACGAGCTCATTGCCAACAACAACTCGTGGACTGTCACCGTTCCCACCTCCCTGAAGCCCGGCAAGTACGTCTGGCGTCACGAGATCATCGCCCTCCACTCCGCTAGACAGGAGGACGGTGCCCAGAACTACCCCCAGTGCCTCAACATCGAGGTCACTGGCTCCGGCTCTGAGCAACCCGCCGGTGTCAAGGGCACCGCCCTCTACACCCCCAAGGATGCCGGTATTCTCGTCTCTGTCTACAACAACCTGTCCAAGTACCAGATTCCCGGCCCCGCGCTGCCCGCTGCCTTCGGTGGCTCCGGTTCCGGTTCCGGCTCTGGTTCTGGCTCATCTCCCGCTCCTACCACCACTGCTGCTCCTGTTGCCAGTGCTCCTGCTGCCACCAAGCCTGCTGCCACCAGTGCCGCTGCCCAGCAGCCTGCTCCAACTGGTGGCGTCACCAAGCCCAGCTGCGAGGAGAAGCGCCGCCGCCGTCTGGCCCGTCGCCAGCACGCCCGTGACATTGTCCACCGCGCTTAAGCCACTCACGTCAAACTGGGGGGGCGAAAGTTTGAGTGAACCCCAGCGTCCCCATTAGCAATGGGGAAGCTCGAAGTGAAAACGCAAGGCACATGAAGACATGGTTGCTTTGGACTCTTCTCAACTGTATATATTTCATGGTGGTTTGTTTTTGTACATTACAAATGCGGGTTTGGCGGATAAAGATTTCACTATCCACCCAGCTGCTCACGGCTGAGCCGTCAGTATACTAGACCAATGGAAAGGGCGGTCCTAAAAATGGTCCCGCTGATTACGCCGACTCTCTTCTGCTCAATCGATTTCCATGAATCTGACTCGTGTCTTTCCCTCGCAAGTTTGTAAACAATGTTTTGTTGATCAGTTGAGTGAACCCAAACACCGGAGGTTTACCAACAGCTGGTCGCCGGATCAGCAGTTGACTCCACTTCCCGAAACAGCGGCCGGTCCCTGTCCCTGTGCTCCCCCCGTGCTCCCCCCCTCCTATATCCAAATTGCTAGGTAGCGTGTGCTATAACAGGGATTCATGAGAAAAAGGGGCAAGTCCAGTCGGCTGATCATGCTTTCTGTACGTACACTGTGGTAAGCGGGCACGGCACCCGATCGTGTCCGTGCGTGTAGCGGCCGTTGCCGAGGGGCATTCTTTCCTTCTTCGTCTGATGCATAAATGCATGCATGCATGACCTTCTCGATGATGGTCATCTACGAGGCAAATTGCGTCTTAGTGACGACACAGGTTGAAACCAGCTTGCTTGCTACAAGGCTGCGCGGGAAGCCGTCTGACGCCGCTCTCCTGCCTGACATATCTTCTACCGTCGCTAGGTTCAGGCTTAGCCTGTAAAGAAGAGAGACTCAAAATGCTAGCGGAAACGTATGCATCTGACATTGCGGCTCTTCAGGTTCAGAGTAAGCTCGTCCGGTGAATTGAACTCTGCTGTTTTTCTGTGGGCAAAGTGAATATTCTGTGTTTGCGGACAAGCAGTCAGGACGGTGAAGCCTTGCTCGATTATTTCTTAGGAGTAAACGAGCTAAAGATCCGCTGCAAAGCGAGCGCATGGTGAACTGGTTGAACCTGGCTACCCAGGTCTTTTTTCCCTTCCGGTAGATGGACTTGTCAAGATCACTTAGGCAGGCGCACCTGGAGTCTAGTGCATCTGCACTGCACGTGAACAATGATCGTTTGCGCCACAAGCATGCAGTGCATCAGCCACAGGAACCTCGGGCTGAGCCACGGCAACCACTTTCCCGGCTCCCACGGCGCCACGGCGCCACGCCCACCCCACCGTCCATTGATGTCGGCCGACGGTCCCGCAGCGGCAATTGGCTCGCTCGCAAAACGATGTCGCTTATCGCCCGGCACAAGACTTGGAGGGAAAGGTTGCATGCTTCTCTTTTAATCATCGGTACTGGCCAATCTTACAGCACAGCCCACCAATTGTGGAGGGGGCGGTTTGATCGATTCTGAGAAGCGGCAGGTGGAAATGCAAGATTTCTCTTCTACGTAACTTTGCCGATACTTCTTTTGGGCTGGTTGGTGTAAGTCCGGGGAGGGACGGGGGGATGTGGTTGCATTCGCGTACTCCCATGCTAGAAGAGACTCCTTTCCCATCCAACTGCCATTCGACCATTTTCTGGAGGTCCTAGTCGCATGGACCGGATAAGCTCAACGGCCGGCTTGCGTTTTCCAAGCACGCGTAAATGGCACTGCAGCCGGGCGCGCACTCTCGAGCGAGGAGGAGGACGAGGATCTGCCGGGTCCGAAACCCCCCACCCCGCGCCAAGATAAGCCCTAAGGCACCTTGAAATGAGATGTCTAACTTTTTCGAGTCATTGTGCGAGGCGTCACGTCTAATACTTCGTTGCGCGAGGTCGAGTTATCAGGCAGAGGGGGGAAGGCGGCAGCATTGAAGCCAGGTAAGTACAAGGTAAGTGCCAATAGAGGGAGGATGGGGGAGGTGGGCTGCGTCAATCAGATGAGAGTCGGAGTTTTTGAAGCTTCCCCGCAAAACTAAGCTGCACGATGTGCGACGGCATTTCTGCATCGAGTCAGAAAAAGACAATTCCAGCATCCCGGAACCGTTGTCTTATCAGAGGGCTACGCAGACTGAGAATCGGCGTCCTCTCCAACAGTAATGTCGGGTTGTGGCGAGGCCTCTGAGCGAAGGTAGTAGGGACGAGATAAGAGTTTGATGGGCTGCCGTTACATCTTTCTTATCTCTTGGCGGGTCCCCGGCACACTCCCGTCCTGCTACTCCTTATCATTGATGGTCTGGGACCACTTACCACGCGTGCCAGATCCAAAGACAGCCAGTGAGGTGAGGGAACGAGATTATTCAATGGCATTGCCTAACAGCACTTGGGGGGTTACAGGGGTTTCTTTGATCGATGCCGCTGCTGCATGTCTCTGAATACCACCATAAAGCTTGTCCTGTATATTCATGGTGTCCATCTGCCCAGATATCGGCGACTATGCCTCATGGTTGGGTGTGCAGGACAGGCGCGATGTATGGTGCTACAAGTGGCGTATGGTAGCCCCTGCATTGCAGATGGTTATCGACGATAGCAAAAGAAGAAACAATGTTGTGTAGTTATTATATGGTGGCCCTTCCCCATCCCCTCGGTGTCCGTCGAGCGCACATTTTTCCTGCTGTAGTGGATTTGCTGGTTTTTGTGATACCCCTTTTTTCTTGTCCCATGTTTCTTTTGCTTCTGACTTCACTCACCTAGCCATCGACAAACATAGCAGAGGGGAGCCCTCGACTACGATGGCCGACTCGATTAAGGAAAAGGAGACAACGGTCTCCCCGCCGACGCCCCATGAGAACGGCATTGGGAAAACGACACAGGAGGTCACCCTTACGAAGGATGGCTTTAGCGTTCACCCCCAGCCCGTCTCCGGGGACGCCATGGACCCTCTCAATTGGTCGTCCTTCCAGAAGCACACGATTCTGGCCATCGTCATGGCGTTGTACGTTGTCTTGGACGCAACGTGACTGGCCAAGAACCGATACTGACTACTATAAACGACGCAGATATTTCATGTTCACTTACATCACGACGACAACGGTGCCCTCCTTTCCCGAGCTCCAGGAGCAATACTCCCTCACCCTCGAGATGGTGAACTGGACCGTCGCCATCCCGGCTCTCGGACTCGCCGTCGGGCCTCTGCTCTGGTCCTCCCCGGCCGACATTATCGGCCGCCGCCCCATCTTTATCGCCGGCACAGTCGTCGCCTTCGCCGCCACGATCGGCGCCGCCAAGGCCCCCTCGTACGGCGGGTACATGGCCGCCCGCCTCTTCCAGGGCCTGGGCGTGAGCCCCGCCGCCACCGTTGGGCTGGCCATCATCAACGACATGTTCTTCGAGCACGAGCGCGGGCAAAAGATAGGGCTGTGGGTCCTGGCCATTGACCTGGGCCTGCTCGCGGGGCCCCTGATCGGCGGGTTCGTGGACCTGGTCGACCACTACTGGATCCAGTGGCTGACAGCCATCCTGTTCGCCGTCATCCTGGCGGCCGAGCTGGCTTTCCTGCCCGAGACGCTGTACCCGCGAGACTACATGCTTTCTAGGACGAGCGGCGTCGTCCTCACCACGGGGGCTGTGGACGAGAAGGCCGTCGCGGCGGACACGGCGACGCCAGAGGCCGTGGAGGTTTCAAGGACAAAGAGCCTGCCGTTTCTGAACGTGAAGCCGCTGCCGGCGATGAAGCACCCCAAGGCGTGGGACTCGATTGTCCGGTTTGGGAAGCTGTTCAAGTACCCGGTGGTACCCATCGCGACGGGCGTCTACTGCTTCGGATGGTACTGGTGGGTTCTGTCGGTCATCACGATGATTCCGGTGGCGTACATCGACTACTCTCCGCAGACTCAGGGGTAAGTCGGTTCTGGCCGCGCTTAGGCACTGTAACGACACGGGGATACTGACGGTTCCGGTAGCCTCTTCTTCATCGGTCTGATTGTGGGAACGCTCGTGTCCGAAATCTTCTTCTCCGGGAAGCTGAGCGACTGGCTTGTCGTCAAGCTCGCGACGGGCAACGGCGGTGTCAAGACTGCCGAGATGCGTCTGTGGCTGGCGTACCCGGCGGCTCTGCTGACGGCCATCGGCCTCATTATCTGGGGTGTCAGCATCGACAAGGCCTACCACTGGATAGTCGGACAAGTAGCTTTTGCGCTCTGTAAGTTCTCTCTCTCTCTCTCTCTCTCTCTCGCCCGCTTCAACCAGAGATATCTAGAGCTGCTCTAATCCCGGATTTGACAGTCGGTGCCGGTATCCAGATGGGCAACACGGCGATTTGCTCGTACATCGTCGACGCCTATCCCCTTCAGAGCATGGCCGTCATCACCTTCTACGCCGTGCTGCTCAACTTCGGCGCCTTTATCGACCCCTTCTTCATCGCGCCCTGGGTCACAAACGTGGGCTACACTTGGACGTTCGCGGGGCATGGCATCATCACAGTCATCTTCTGCATCCCTGCGCTGGGGCTGCTGCATCGCTTTGGTGGCGCAATGAGGCAAAGGGCCGGGGAGCCCGACTGGGTAAACCCGGAGTACGATCACGACATCGTCAGGGAGTCATGAAGTTGGGGTTTCAAGGTGCTTTACTGGCCGGCGTTACCGTAGCAAAACATGGAAATTGGAGTTTGGTGGCGTAGGATGTTGCGTGAGGCTAGGCGGGCGGACCGAAAGAAAATTCCCCTAGCCTATATGACAGAAAAATTTGAGATGATATGCCATGTTGATCTCGGCTACATATCACATCCGACGGGGTGACACTGAAAGATGGGCCTATCTGGTGCGTAAAGATCTGGTATTGTCTTCTTGGTCTGAGCTGTTTCTCTCCACTTGAAATTACTCCATCAACTGCCATATCCTTCATTCGAGTACTTGGTCGGAAGCGCTGGAGAGGGACTAGGTGACGAGGAATGCAAGCGTGAATAGACTCGTTTAGTTCAAATTCAATAATACAATAACAGTCGGGAAAACACAAGTGTAACACCCAATGCTCAACACGTTAATTTATGTTCATTGGCATCTGACAGACATCAATATATCCACAACTCTAATAGCTCAATGACGTGTCAAATGTTGCCTATCGTTTCCTATGACATGCAGCCCGGTCCCACATATGTATGTCCCTTGCCCGGTTCCTCATCCGCCACGCCGCCCATGTCCTCAATGGTCCGCATAACCCACAAGCGTCAGCTTTCAAGCAGTTTATACACATACAGAGTCGACAAATTATCCACCATAACATAAATGCCTATCTCCAACGTGCGCTCGAGGTGTTCGCGCGAGTGGGATGACCCACTGAGGAATATGCTGTTAGATAACGCTTTCTCGAAACAGTCAATCATTCAATTGACTGTTGCGCACAACACCATGGAATAATCTAAATATGAACAATAATTTTGATATATTTTAACAGTTTCTTGGGTCTCGCTGAGTGTTTCTTCGAGCAGTAAAGCAGTGTGAAGGGAACTAGTGACAGTTGACCCTGTGGCTGGTTGCGTTGTTGCATTGACTCTTGTAGGTAGAAACTGAAAGAAAAACATCGGCTGTGGCCAGGTTCCGATATGAAGGAGGGCCATTACTGCGCATCTCCGCATCTGTTTGTGGGTACGAGAGTGCCGACTTATGAAGTTCTTTCCGCCGTAGGCATATTGATATGTTGAGCAGGTATGAGCCCTAGCTGACCTGGGGTTTCTTGGTTCATCATGGCGTATTGTAGATCAAGGTCGGAAACAGGTCCTGGGTGTGGCTTTTCGACGTCGGAAAGAATCTCGATGCCAGAATCTGCGGCATTCGTCTCGTATAAGAACAGCCAGCTACTATTCTGATCTGTCGGGAAATTCCAGAACGAGTTCCAATTCCAGGCCCAATAATCGCAGCATCCCATAATCCCTTCTTCCATTGCATCGCTAGTCGAAGGTGAGGATGTTCGGCTTTCGGGGGATGCATATACCATCATGTTCATCGGGGGGGAGGTGCTGCCAAATGCTGGCTCGTGTGGACTGAGTGCTCCAATCGAGCCGTCCCTTCTCCGTTGGTGTGGCAGGATGTCCATGTTTGAACGGCGGTGCTTCTTTTGTACTTTGGGAGGCCTCCCCGCCTTTCGAACCTGACTGTATACACATTCTCGTCTGCGTTGTATACAGCGGTTGCATGAAGGCTTCTGTTGATCGCATTTCAACTTCAGCTGGGTGCAGCAATCACAGGAGTTTCTCAATCTCCTGTTGCTCACCCCCATCTGAGAGGAAGAGGCCGATTCCGAATCCATGGCTCTGTATATATCGCTGAGATGTTGCCATATCAACATGGGACCATGGCCCCTTGAATACAGAATTCTTCTTGAGCAGAATGAGGGTGTGGAGCGTTATCAATAGCTGGTTAAGTATGCTGATTCAAGCAACTTCTTTTATTCACTCATCTGGAACGGTAACTCAGAGGCATCCCAGACAAACTCAGAGTTAGTAGAGGCGACTGGAACTTTAAGCCATGCCGGCAACTGGCAAAGTGTTCCGGCTGCCCGGTAACGAGGCAACCTGGCCTATCCTGAGTCAACAAGCAAAATTTTCGGAAAAGAAAATCCGTGCCGAACATAAAGGCTGGATTTTCCAATGACAAATTCACCCATGGTATTCCATGTGCGAGCACAAATCGTGTGTAGGTCTTCTGATTCAGACCAGCTCCGAGACAGAGATTGATTATACATCTAAATACCTCCGTCAACTTTGGCTATGTTCTCCATCAAACAGAAGAATTGCCATCAATCACCGGACTCGAAATATGTAGACGGTAATGACTGACAGAGGCACTCGGCCGACGAGCGTTTGTTTCGGCTCTGCGGTACATTCTACCTTTCCTACCGTCCCAACGCATTTACTCTGGCCCAAAGCGCGAGCCGTTGAGACGATGTTTTAGGGTTGATGCATGATTATCGGCAAATGTCTTCGAGAATCTACGATCTCCGGCAGGACGGTAAGAAAGAAACATCGGCTCACTGGAGTTGGTGCCAACGGACGGTGCAAGGTTTCTGCTCATGGTTCCGATAAATTCACATGTAACTTTGTCCTCTTGGGGGGCGGGGGAATCGGCGGTTGCTCCCTGACGGAAACACAGACTTACTCGCTGCAAAGTTTCTGCCCACTGCTTCTCTCGACCATTTCAGATCATAGGGCTGGGAGTGATCTGATCGAAGATACCTCCTCGTAGCGAGATGGACAGTGCAGCAAGGCCCAGTGTCTAGTAGGGTATCTATCTCAGTGTCGTTTGACTTGGAGCTTGGACTCGAAAACATCCTAGTGCCAAGCCATTGGGTCGCAAATACTATTCCAAAGCAAATCGCATTGGACCTCATGCCACTCAGACTCTTCCGGGCAGTGGGTTCAATGGCGGAGTCCAATCTTCAATGGCGTGACTGATTACTTCGAATTGGTACGTACAGTCTAGACTTTTTGTAGGGTAACATAAAATTCAAGGCTTACTCTTTTCGGCCCCGCTTGGGTTTACTTTTATAACCTTGTTTCCCAAAACTTATAACTATCAACTACCATGATCGAAACACGAAAGCCTCGTTCCCCTCTCGAGCTCATTCCGATCTGGACATGGCCGACGCTACCTATATGTACCGAATGTCTTGCGGTAAAGCAAAGATACCCAGTTCTCTTCGACTATGCCAACGGCCCATCCCACATCAATTCCTTGCTTACTATGTTAGCCAATCACTTCACCTATAAATATCAGTCAGTACTATACATCCATCGAGGTGAAGAGGATTTGCTCCCTGAAATTATATATATCTCGTTGAGAGTCGTCATGATCACCGATTGATGACCAGAAAGACAATAAACATTGAATCACCTTGTATAGCATACAAATCTCTCAATAATGGCTGTCCGAGCAAATGAATAATCAGTAAGGAATTGAGTATAAGATGTGACGCCTAGAGCCTGGCTAGGGGAAATAACCCCTGAAAGTATAAACCTTATCTCTTGTTCAGATTATGATTCCATGCCGATGAGTACGCGCGTGCATGTGGAACCTGGGAAATAACCAGAGGTTAGAAATTGCCCATCCGAGCAGGGTATGGACCACTTTTGTAGGAATGGATACGTAGGGCCAGTAGAGGAAGGGCCTCCTGGGCAAGAATCTAGGACATGAATTCACACCACCTTCGGGGAAATACTCGTGCATCCTTGAAGTTTATTTAATTTGTGGGGGTACGTGTTGGTCATCTTGGTGTCGAGATGCTTCCTGCGAGTAGGTACCTGTACCTCGGACTTCGGAGGAGAGTCCGTAGTGGCAGCAGGCAAAACCCAACTTCAGTTGCTTGTAACAACCGTTGGTGGCACGTTATAGGGCAAGGCTATGTTGCTGACTGGAGTAATCATCGCATGATGTGTATATCACTCCTGTCTACTCTAGATCAAGCTATGCCTATTGGTCCAGTTGTGAAGACTGTGTCGGCTCAATTTGACTTTCTTTTGCCAAGACGTATCAACGCTTCCTAATCGATCGCATGAGATCTCAGTTGCGTACCGTAGCTGTATGTAGCCTATTGCTTATTAGAAAATAGCGATCTAAACATTCCTACTCTTCCTCTCTAGTTAAAAAGTGAATACCTCTGCCAATTATCCTCCAGATATCGCAAGATGGTTATCAGGAGCAGGGTTAGTTATGGCTTACCAAACATAAAATGGGGGCGGGGGCAGAAGCATCATTAGTAGTTGCGGGCACTTCGGGATGACTCGACATCAACTACATCACTCATATCAACCACTGTAGGAGGTCAAAGACGGGCTACGCTTGATTTGTATAATTTCTCGCTATGGTATGCATCGATCATCTAGGGATTTGATCTGGCCCGAAGGGCAAGAGTGGTCTATAGAGGATCCATAGACTCTGCCCATCCCCTGCGCTAGCAGTATCTGTTTGCCATGTCATCGACCAGTTGTGACACTAAAGCGAAAAGAGCGACATGTCTGAGACCCATTAACGCCGGCGAGTAGAAAATGAATCCAAGGTGCATTTTCACCACGGCGTATATGTGTAGTCAGGTGTGAATTGATGATACTTGAGATCATTCCCGCAACCTCCCCCTCATTCTCCACGCCGGTTCGTGGAGTGGTATCCCGCCACTAGCGGGTTTACCTGGACGAGACTGGCGGACGTTGTCCGCTTGCCAGCGGAACAATGGCGGAATTCGGGATTGCGCAGCTTCGCATAACACAGCTTCGTGGGTCTTTTTTTCCTCCTTCGAATAAAGCAAAGCAAGTTTCTTCTTCCTTCATTCTTTTTTTTCAACACCTTGATCCTGAAGAGCGGCGTCAGATGGCGTCTTCGGAACATTCTGATCTTTGTTCCGCCATCCATTCCGAGTTTTTCGCTGCTTCAACTCAGCCTCATCGTGTCGCGCAGCCATATTCAACAGGCGACTTCGTCATGTTTTTGGACGGACCGAGAAGTCAATCCTGTTGCGAATATGTCCTGGTTGCTTGGACACCATGAACTCTCTCGGAGATTGACGAAACAACTCTCTTCCAGCCATAACCGTTGAAGCAGCCTGACAAGGCATCGCCCTGGAGGTTGCTTTGGCAGCTTTCTACACAAGTACGAAGCCAACCTCAACGACCACACCATAGCCATGAAGTGGCCTATGTGGTTTTAGGGGTATCCAGATCTTTGAAGAAGACCAAATTGGTGAAGTGCGAGGGATGGAAGAGGCAACCGCCATTACGTGGGCAAACGATTGTTTTCCGATATTTTACTGGCCTAGATACGAATTGGCTTATTGGACCCTTCGATCGTCTTAGATGAAGGTTTTGTCTGCGGATATAAACGAAGCAAGAGGCTTCAGCGGTTAACCCTTAAAACGAACACAGACCCGGGTTCGGTTTTCCAGCCTACGTTGCGACGTCATACTGTTGATCCTTGTTGCAATGGAGAGCATGCACCGCACTACTGGTGCGTCAACAACTGTTCAGAGAAAGCGTTGGAGGTGAGTCTGTTTGTCCTACACTCGAAGCTGCCTTTGGGAAGTAGGTGATCGACATGGCCAACTTGTTTTTAAAGGTCCAGAATACATTTCAGTTTCTCCATCGAAAACTGACGAGGAAAGAAAAGCTGGACTAATATTAGAGAAGAGGGGCGTGGTCAATTGCTCACTCCAGAAACCACCCAGATGAATTTGTCAAATTCAACGAAGGAACAGATGCCGAGGAGAGGGCACGAGGAAGCTGCAAATTAACAGGCAGGAGAAGTCCAGCAAGCCAGGAGATGGGCAGCGCACGAAAGTTATGTGGGGGGGGGGGGGGGAGGCTGGTTATGCAGCACTGAGAAAACAGGTGAGGACCATTACTTCGGCTGAGCTGTGTTGCACCATGAATATTAACACGAACCAAAGGTTGCATTAGCGAGCTCCACATAGCGGCCGCTTCTGGATGTCTCCGGGTGGCGAACTAGGATCTCTGGACTTGAAGATTGCGGGAGCTCCCGTCTGGGGTTAAGGAACTCGGCCCTTCGGAGACGACGGAGGCAAAACGTCCACTGTTTCGTTACAAAAAGCCGCAACTATCCAAGCAGCTCACCGGATTTGGATGACCTGTTCAGTCGCAGTCTGGCGCCCCGCCCCCCGAACGATATACTATGTATGCAGCGGGCCTGCGACAGACTACTGGAAGACAGGAATGACCAGCGAACGTTGCAGGCAGACAAGGGGTTCTCAGTTGCGCGGCGCAACCCCCCAAGTCCCGGATGAGATCAAGATGGCGAAACCCCTCATTTTCGACCATCGTCTGAGTGAGCTGAGGTTACAGCGGGCTTGATTGGACAGGAATGACATCCGTATGCTGGTGGCGGCACACTCCCCAATACGGGTTCCATTAAACATGAACCAGCAGCGCAGGTCACGGGCACTCGATCCGAAGAAGCATGCGAGTGCGTACTGGGAGGCATGAAGGGCGTTGCACTAAGCTAGGAATCCCATCTCTGCTGGATCTCAGAGAGGACGATGAGGAAGATGATAGACAAAGCTTGGGAAGGTGGACAAAACGGGCCAAGAAACCAACGGGCCAAGAAACCCACCGGCTCGTCGCCCCGCAAACCCGCTAAGAGGGGCTATCCGCGTAATGGCCCGGGCATGCGGAGAAGGCCCATACCGGTATATGCGGTACACCCAATCTAACCGAGCCACTAAGGGTCCTGGAAGTCGTTGTGGGAAAGGGCGGGGGAGGGAGCGTCGGCCCCGACCAGTCGCTGCAGGCAGGCAGCTGTCTGTCTCTGGCGTCCCGGGCAAGTGCAGGCGAAGGCGTAGGCGTGGAAGGGAGAAGGGACGGACGGAGGCACCTGGGACAGGGAAGGAAGCAGGTGACAGGTAGCTTCCCCGTTTTTGATTTGGTCAATCGCCTCAGCCCAAAACATTGACGGGCACCTCTTCACTCGCGCACGGCATTGCGTCCTCGTCCTTGTCAGACGAGACAAGCCCAGGCTCGGAGCGACAGAGGTCATATACCGACCATGGTCCGGCAACTCTATGTTACTGCTCTCCAGTCTCGTACAGCAAACAGCAGCACTCAACGATGAGATACTCAACAGCCTGCTCGGCGTGTCGGTAAGTCGGTCCACCGATACGTTCGTTCCCTTTGAACCCCCAGTGCCCCCCCTGGCCTCGGCCAACTTGGGAGTCTTTGGGCTATGAAGCCATCGCTCACTGGCGACAACATCACAGAGCGCGACGGCGAAAGTGCGAGGTCCCTGTCAGCGGCGGCCAGTGCACGTACTGCGCGGCCCAAAACATTGCCTGCTCGCGGGCAGGCTCCATCATCCAGCCCAAGGCTGCGCCCATCAGCCCAATCTCTATGACGACCCCCGAGACCCCGACCGTCACCGAAATTATGCTCGCCAGCCCGCCCGGAATTACGCCCTCGGCAGCCGTCGCCGACAAGGCGCTCTGCACCGAGCTTGTGGAGCTGTACTTCAGCTATATCCACGACCAGCTCCACTCTCTCTTCCACAAGCCCAGCTTCATGCTCGATCTCCACGAAGGGACCGCCCCGCTGGTGCTGGTGTACGGCATGATGGCGTTATCAGCGAGGTCAGTGATTGCACTTGAATGCCCCTGATCTAGACTAAAACACTCAAGATTCTCCTCCAATCCCATATTCAATGGTATCTCCCCCATCTCCAGAGGAGAGCTCTTCGCCAACGAGGGGAACCTGTTGCTCAACTTGCGCAATGTGTCTCTCACCAGTGTTCAAGCATGCGTCCTCCTCGGCGCATACTCCATCGTAGAAGGCGAGGCAGGCGCCGAGACCGTCTTCTACTCAGCGGCCTGCAGGATAGCCAACTATCTTGACCTGCCCAACCTGCCCACTCCTGACCCGCTTCAACGGGAGATTCACATTAGAGGTAAACTAATCCCATGTAACTGCCCATAGACCGCGGCTGACGAGTATAGTATATTGGTCGCTCTGCATGATCGACGTTTGGTCATCCACCGGTGTCAACCTTCCACTTTTAATGGACCGTCGGATGGATGTCCCATTACCTATGAACGAATCAACGTTCCTCAACATGACCCGCGCAAACAACAATCACTTTGATTTCATACTCTCCCCCAACCGGGAAGATTCGCTCATTGCTCAAATGATTAAGCTGAACAGCATTTTGATGAGAGTCAATGACGCCATCAAGAGCCTCACCTCCGATGTTGACGTGACCAACATTGACGAGACTGTATCTCAGCTGTCCCAGGAGCTAGAGGCCTGGGAAGTTGAGCTACCCCCGAGCCTCCGCGACACCCCAGACAACCTCCACTCTTTCGCCGCTCAAGGGCTGGGCCGTATCTTCATTGCTGTGCACACTGGTCACTACCACTATAGCCAGCTGCTCTACTACCAATATCTCGATGAAGTCCAACGTTTTCCTACATCACCTACCGCCCAAATGTTCGCCCGAAAGTGCAAAGAAAACGCCATCTCCATGTCACGCATCATCGACCTTGCCAACACCACGCCCGGCTGTGACGCCAAGTTCAATATGCTTGGACACATCATCGTCATTACTTCTTCCATATTTATTCATACCCTACTCTTCGAAACAGATGAGGCCGAGATTGCTAACGCCCGCGCAAGCCTCGAGCGCCATTTCAATGCGCTTGTTGCCTTGCGCGTATACTGGCCCGCGCTCGAAGTCTGTTTCGCCCGCTTAAAGACTTTTCATGAATTGTGCCGCAAAAGCATGAGTACCAGCTACCGTATGGACCGTTGGATGCTCAGGTTTCTGACCGAATTTGCGAGGCCGATTGACGAGAAGGAGCGGGACGAAGATGGCCATATGGACCTCGACAGGTGGAGCGTGGGCAACATCGGCATCAGTCCGGAAAATTGGGCGTGACGATGCGAGCGACTTTGACTAGGACTAGCGACCCAGTGAACCCACTGAACACCGTGACTGCCGTTCCAAGAATCACCCACCGCAACCATCAAATTCCGGAAGCAGAGCAACGCGCAGCTACGTGGGTTTTGCGCCTGGAACGGTGTTTTAAGAAATCTTCGCGTGCTGCGCACTTCCGAGGTGTCTATGAATGTCACCCTTCCTACCCGAGCTGACATCACTTTGAAAAGACCAGCAGAATAGCGCCACACTTGGGGTTTTAATCCGCAATCCAAGTCTAGCTGTAAAATATTGTAAATATCGATCTTGAATCGGGGTTTGTATTTAACGTTTTGGTTTGTGTTTCCTTTGGAGGTTGGTGCATGGCGGGATGTGGAATTGTGAAGGCAAGGATGTCACATCTACTAGGAGTAGATTTGGGGCGACGAAAAATATAAGGAAAACAAACCTCCCATTTCATAACTAAAGGACTACTTCTTTCATTTCCTGATTCTCTCGTGAGCTGTCTCACCACAGATGCTTCATATATGAGCGAGCCGACATTCTCATTCCGCTCCCCGTAAATAGGCCCGGAGCCCTGGTATCGGTGTCGATATCCCCGGCAGATCAGGGGCCCGGCCCACTGTTCCTACAGCAAGAGGAGCCACTATTCGTATATGAACCGAGAGGCACAGCACACCTCATGCACGAAGGATGCACATCGTTTACTAAAATTACCTATCCTCGGCTTATTGCCGTTCGACTTCACCCCCGGCGGGTGTGCCAGGAGGAACGAACATGGCTCCCGCGTCGACTCAGATTCAACCCAAGAGCGAGGATGGACTAGACGAGGTATCGCCTCACCCTATCATGCCTCTTTTAACTTATTGTTGACTGAAGAAGGCCAAGCAAGTGTCCAAAGCACGCTTCATCTTGTTCCTTGGAAATTAGGGCTGCTGGGGCCGCATGCCCTCTACGATGGGGAGAGGCCGTACAGAGGCGGACTCGAAAGACGAATGGCGATAATTGGGAGATGCGGGAACTCGGGACCGAAATGAATATCCTGATACCGACTTGGCTTTTGGGTTCAGTATCAAAGTATGGCTTTTCGTAATTATATCAGAAGGCTTAAAAAAACATTCAGTCCATCTGCGAAACCCTGTTCTGTGGATGTCAGCATCATCCACGCTGTTGGTGGTCTGGAAGCATGGATCTGACGATCGGAATACCCGCAACCCCTGGCCCGCATCGACCTATTGACAAACCAAACCCTACATGGTATAGCCTTCCAAGGAGGAGATACAGCCAGATCGCAATTTTCTTTTCTTGTTCTTTACTCCCTTTTGAAATTCCATAAGAAGGTGCTCAAAAAATCTATAAAAGCAGGTTTAATCATGTTTACCGTTTTGGTATGACGATCAACGGCTTTTTCATACAGAAGTGTGTGGATAGTGCACCCTATATATATACATATATATATATAGATGTATGCATGTATTACGATACGAAATCACGACTTATGCTACATGTGCCATGCTAGGTTCAATGCCCGGCGTTTTTCAATCACTAAATAAATAATTAGACCAAAAGCCTGTGACCCAAAAACAGTGCCGTTAATTGCGGGCAGCAATAACGCCTTATATCACCTCGTGACAAAAACATTAAGAAATTACTAAAGAAGATAGACCAAATCCATACATCACACTTATTCCTAGGCTGTTCAGTCGGAAGTTTGATATGGTTGCGCTCCCGCTCTCGCAACTGGCGGAAGAAGCGGCAACCTAGGGTCGCAAGCGAGTTGACCACACAACAAGGCGGATGCGACGTGCTGTATAAATCTGCTGTGGAGTGGATGGGTAGCTAACACCCGCCTATCCGTATAGCCATCAGGTCCGTCTTGTGGCAATGGAGCGACAAATTTGCTGGTATAAAGACTGTGACTTGTCATGTTGGCCGGAAGCTAGTGAGATAGAAGTTTATGAGATACGGACACTCCGGAGCCGCCTGTGATATGGAACAATAGAGCAATTCTCATGAAATCTGCAGAACTGGTACTGGGGTGGCAGGTTTTCTTGGCCCAAAGTTCATTGATTGCCCCAGTAGACTAGATATTTCGGCAACCTCTCCGTCCATTTTACCCTGTGATCCACACACCCACAAGTCTCTGAAATGAGAGGGGTGTTTTTGGGTCGCTTCTTCTGTCTGACTGACTCGCCGATTCCCTTGCTATATTACCCAATATGATGGTGGGGATGCGATGTACAGGAAATAACACCAAGAATCACTGCTATGTGATTAATTAACTCACTACATGACACACATAGCCTCCGCAGTTAGCGTTCGTAAAGCGCGCAGTGGCATTTGATCCGCCAACAGGAAGTGCCTGATCGGGAAAGTTCGGTCCCAGCATTGTAAACCTCTGACGCACTTGAATTGCCATGTTGACCAGGATCCCAGCTGATGCTCCTCGCAAGTTCAAGTTTGCGAGCTCAGGATTGGTTCTTCAATCGGGGTTCATCTACCTAACGGTACAATGTGCCTTCTCTCTGCCGGCACCCATCTCCCACCAATCATGACTGGCCCGCATCGGGAGTCCGGGGTAAAACGACCGCATGGGAAAAAGCTCATACGAGACTCAAACTCTCGACGCCTAATCCATGTGATGTGGGCTTCTTATGTGGAGTACATAAAAGGAGACCCAAGTCACCGCCTGATCACCGCCTGATATTAGATCAGGCGGTCTCCCAACCTTAGGATGGGACAGCAGCACATTCTTTTAACCTAGGAGTGCCGCCAAGATGAAGTCTTTCCTCGCTCCTCTGGTCTATGCCACAGTAGCGCTGGCGGCAAGCCGCACATCCGCGCCCAATGGATGCTTGACTGTCACGAAGTCGCCTGGCAGCGGCCAGTACGGCACGGTCCAGCAGGCCGTCGACGCCCTTTCTACCTCGGCCTCTGGCACGCAATGCATTTTCATCGACCAAGGGACCTATGACGAACAAGTCCTGGTCCCTGAGCGGACCGCCCAGCTGACCATTTACGGTTATACGGCGGACACAAGCAGCTACGCCGGCAACAAGGTGACCATCACCGCCAGCAAGAGCCAGGCCAACGGCCTCAACAACGATGAAACCGCGACTCTCCGCATCAAGGCCAAGAACTTCAAGCTCTACAACGTGAATGTCGCCAACGCTTACGGCAAGGGCAGCCAAGCCGTGGCCCTAAGCGCGTACGCCGACAGCGGATACTATGGCTCTCAGTTCACTGGGTTCCAGGACACCGTCCTCAGCCAGTCGGGCAACCAGCTATACTCGAAATGCCTAATCCAAGGCGCTACCGACTTCGTTTTCGGCCAGAGGGCTATGAGCTGGTTCGAGCAGTGCGACCTCCGCCTCGTTTCCGCCTCCGTTGGCTACATCACTGGTAAGACCATTTCCACGATCCCAGTCACCGATCGCTTGACCGAAACTGACACTGGCAATAGCCAACGGCCGCCAGAGTGCATCCGACAGCTCCTACTACGTTTTCAACAGCTGCAACATCGCCGCCGCCGCCGGAAACAACGTTTCCGCCGGAGCCTACTTCCTCGGGCGCCCTTGGAGGCAGTTTGCTCAAGTCGTGTTCCAGAAGACAACCATGTCGAACGCCATCAACTCCGCAGGCTGGGCGACGTGGAACGCCGGCGACAACCGCACCAGCAACGTTCTCTTTGGCGAGTACCAGAACACCGGTATCGGGTCGCAGGGCACTCGCGCCAGCTTCTCCAAGAAGCTCGGCTCGGCTGTATCTATTTCAAGCATCCTGGGGGACACCTACACCAGCGCGGGATACTATGATGCTGCCTACATGTAGGAAGTGCACCAAAGCGGGTTCTCCCCCCCCTGCGCTATACGCGGGCGTGGTGGTCAGATTTCTTCGTACATATACTTTTTCTGCCCAATCGTAGTATATATTAATCACAACGCCATCCCAGACGGAAGTCAATCGAAACTGCCACGAATCCCTCGCGTGATCTTTACTTTTTTCCTATGCAGCTTAGGCTCGGTTTTGTTGCTACGCATTACGCGTCTCGACCCTTGCTAGGCGATTCAGCGATACTTATTACGATGCCTGGCCGAGAAAATCTGCGAAACTCTAAAAGAAAGTTGTGCATCTCGTCCCAAACGAGCCGCGTCAGGTTTCTTCGTTTTTCGTTCTGGGCTACCCCTGGTTGGCATTGGCCTAAGAAACAGTGGATACAGTGGCTTTGAGTTCAGGTAATCACAGCATAGAGCGACATACCACAAGTTGATGAGCTTGAATGCCACCCAGCCTAGGTAGATATCCGACGAAAGCCAGACTGTACGTAATACGGGGGCGCGCGACCAAGCTTACGGACCTCAGTCGTGGTTGGCGTCGCATTAGATAAGAAATTCAAGATCGATTCCGGAGTTTGTCGGTAAAATCTTTTTGGGGGGGCGAGGGAGAGGAGGGCGAAGACATCGCGAGATTGTTGACCAAATGGAGCAACTAAAGCGGTTGTTATTTTCGGCGAAAGGATACAAGACTATGGTGCCACGGCATGATACCATGGTCATGCATACCGAGAGCTGGTTGTTGGACCAAGTCCAACACAAGACTTTTACACTGCGAGAAGCAGGAAGCGTACTGGCTTCGTCGCCAATCAATATAATTCGATCGATGGAAGATCCGGTTGTTCTGGCATATCTTACCATCCACTGCATGCGCCTTGACTTTTTGGTCAATAAACCTGTCTGTAGATATGTTCAACCGTGCACTAACTGAAGACAGCATGCTACCTGTGATATTGCTATTATCAGACTCGATCGCAGGTGCTTCGAGCGATAGTGTTTAGTCTTGGCCAGTTATTGCTGTGGAATACGGAATTGTTTGCAGGAGTGACGCGTGCTGCCCCCGAGGAATGAAATGTGAACTCAATGGCGAGAAGAGACCAACGGGGCAACAGAGGTATTTCAACGATAGAGTAAATGCTTTCGTAAAGGGTAGTTAGGATAAAAGTGTTCGTGCCTGAGGAATATGACAATCGATTTAATGCATTATGCTTGTTGTCAATCGCAAAGAAACGATTCAACGGAAGTAGCTGACCGCACTAATAGCGTTTGAAGTAACCAATAAGTCAAAGCACCCACTTTCCGATCACCCCCACTTGGCGATCACCTATTTCCCACCAAAATACACTAAAATACACCAAAACTACTCCTTTTTACTATAGCTATAACAGTATAACCCTAGCTTCTATAATTCTATAAAAATTCCTATAGTTAGTTAAATACTTACTTTTACTAGACTAGGTTTTTTATATTATTCTTATTAGTATAACTTAAGATATAAGGCTTTATATAAAAATATACTAAAATACTAGTAAATTATTATTAGCTATAACTTAGTATTTACTAGTAGTATAAGCTTAAAACTTTATAAATAGCTATTTTATTTACTATATTAAGTAGTTATATTTTCTATATAATATATATAGTCTTATATAAGCTTATATAAGTAAGTTAAAATTTCTCTAAGAAAGTTTTTTTAGTAAAACTTATATTTAAGTATATACTATAGTATAGCTAGTATAGTCTATAGTATAAGCTAGTAAATATATACTTTATACTATAAAGTAACTATATAAAGTATTATAGGTTCTTTTATTTTATAGTTCTAAAGTTATATAGATTCTTATATTATTAAGAAGTACTAGTATATAATAGCACTAGTGAAGAGAAGTAATAATTAAAACATAGGTCCTATATTATATAGAAGCTAATTCTTAACCTAGCTATTACTAGCCTTTTGCTAGGGGGTTAGTACCTTTTTAATCTTGCGTTTATTTAGCCTTGCTAAGTAAAACACTTACTAAACTATATTAAGAATAATGTTTCTTTAACCTACTAGGTCTACCTAGGACTTTAAGGTAATTACCTATTGTCTTATAATAATTATACTCCCCTTTTATATAATTATCCTAGTTATACTACACTAGCCCTAATCTAGTATATTCTTAAAAAGGTTTAGTTAGCCTATTAGCTATCTATAAGGCCTTTTATACTCCTTCTTAAAGCTACCTTTCTAAGCTTTACCTTTTTATTATTTATTTACTTTTATAAACTTTATCTTTTTTTTATTATAGCCTTTTATTAAGTTCTTATACTATTATTACTACTTTTTTTTTCTTTTACTAGTGTTTTATTAGATTATTAATTTTTTTTTTTTTTTTTAGATTTTAATAACTAATTTTAATAAATAATAACTAATATAATAGTAAGACTTAGCTAATTCCTTAGATTATAAGAGAAGAATTTATAGTATACTAGTGCTAATTCTTTAATAAATTATCTTAATTAAGCTATTTATAATTAGGCTATATATTAGGAGTAATTAGCTAGACTTTACTACACTTAAGCTAATATTACTATAACTTACTTTTTTTATTAGTAATTAAGTAGCTATTTTAACCTATTTATATTCTAATAGGCCTACTAAACTACTTATAAGGTAAGCCCTCTTGTTAAAAATAGTAAATATAAAAATACTACTAATAAATATAACTCTTTATTTTTTAATAGTTTTAGATTAATTTATTACTTATTAAAATATAATAATAATATAAATAGTAACTAAAGTAAAAGTAACTCCTATTATACTTCTCTCCTTAGTCCTAACTAGTGTTCTCTTAGCCCTTTATTATTTATTATACCCTAAGACTATAACCTTGTCTTACTAGTTTCCTAAGGCTTTAATAATAAGTTTTATAACACTAAGGATAAAATTAGTATAAATAATCCTAATAATAAGGTTACTTAACTCTCTAATCCTTTTAGTAATAACCTACTAAATAAGATCTAAATCCTTAATCCTCTTCTAAAAGACTAGTTTTATTATATTAGCCTTATATATATTATATTTATACTATTATTAAGAAGTAAAAGGCTAAGTATACTTTTATTAATACTTCTTTAATTCTAGACTATTAATTTACTTTTAATAGTAGTACTAGATATATATAATATACTACTTATACTAATAGCTATATACTAGTACCTAGGTTTTTTTTTTATTTAGTAGGCTTTTACTAATATTTATTTATCTAGTGTACTACTATAATCCTAGGTAATTACTAGGACACTATAAATATTTTTATAGCACTAGGCACTTTAATTTAGGCTAATAAGTTTATAGCTATTTATAAGCTATTTTTACTATTTTAGTAACTTTCTTAGATAACTTAGCTACTTTAGATATTTAGTACTAAAAGGCTTAGTACTAGCTAGCGTTAAAGAATTTTTCTTATATTTATTTTTTTTATATTTTACTAGGCTTTTATTAACTTATTACTATAGAATAACTTTTTTAAGGTTAAAAATACCTTTATTACTTACTATAAACTAGTGTCTAAATACTATAATTAGATCTACTATAGGCGCTTTAATTTACCTTTACTTTATATAGTAAGTGTTACTTTTTACTTATAAAACCTTATAAATATTTACTAATTATTAATAAGGACTACTAAAATAACCTTTACTTTCTTTTAGGTAATTAAGGCTATATTATATAGTAAATATATAAGTATAAATATATAATAATATAGTTTATACTATCTATAATAAGGCTAAAGAACTTATTACTTACTATCCTTTTACTAAGACCTTAGCTATAATTTACTCCTAAATTAAGGATTTTAATTATAGTTTATAATAGCACTAGATATACCTTAAGTATACTACTTCTTAGATTTCTTATTTTATTTTTTAAGTTAGGTTTTTAGGCTAAGTTAAGTTTAGTTATTTTTATTTAAGTATACCCCTTAGGTACTATATTATTAGGCTTATTAGTTCTTCTAGATTTACTTAAGATTTAGCTTTATTATTACCTAGTAGTAATTAATCTTTATACTTTTAGTTCTTTTTTACTTAGCTTTCCTTATATTCTTTTATTACTTCTTATACTAATTCTATATTATTACTACTAACCTATAAGTTATACTTAGACAGCTAGCCTATCTACTTAACTAGGTAAAATATTTCTTTTTTTATAATATAGTAGTTAACTATATAGTCTAGTTCTTACTCTAGATTATTTTCCTCTAGGTTAAAGAATAGTAGGCTTTAGTTACTTTATAGCCTTCTCCTCTAAGGCTTTAATAAGCTAATATAAAAAACGTTATATATCTATAAGTACTTCTTAGGTAACACTAGGTAATAAGCTTACTTATTTATAGCCTATATTACCTAAAATAGTCTAATAAACTTAAGTACTAATTTACACTAAGTAGCTTTAAACTATAAGTTTTTTATAAATAATAAGACTAAATCTCCTTATTTAAACACTATAGGTTTATAACGTTTATTATAGCTCTTTATTTACCTTTTAATAGCTTATTACTATACTTACACTAAATCTAGCTATAACTTATATAACTTCTCTAAGTAATCTTAGACACTTTATACTTTTCTCCCTTAAATTATGTCCTTAAGATTTAAGTAAAACTCTAGTAAGTACCTTAATAAGGCCTAGAAAAGGCTATATTTTATTATTATATTTTTAGTATTATTTACTATAAATTCTACTAATAGTAATAAATTAGGCTAATAAGACTTATTACCTATAATAAAATAGTATAAGTAATACTCTATAACCTTATTTATAGCCTTTATTTACTTATTTATTTATAAGTAAAAAACTATTAAAAGCCTCTTTTTAATCTTAGACTAGTAGTATAAGTTTAACTAGTATTTACTTATAAATACTAATCCTTTGTCTAATATAACCCCTTATAGTATACTAAACCTAAGCTTTACCTTCTTATATAGTATTTTAATAAGCTCTTCTATAGTAATTAATATACTTACTACTATATATATATAGTACTTAGTAAAATAGTTAATAATTACTAGGATTATATTTATTTTTTACCTCTTAGTTTATACTAGAGGTAAACCTATAATAAAGTCTATTAAGATCTTCTTAAAAGGCCTCTAAAGTAATAGTAATAACTATAAAGTACTATATAGCTTATAAGTCTTAGCCTTTATACCTAGGTATATCCTATAAGTGTTAATATACTCCCTTATATTTTACTTTAGCCTTTTTTACTAGAACTTTTACTAAATTAGCTCTATAGTCCTATCTTTACTAAAGTGCCCTACTAGTAAATTATTATAATAAAAAAAGATTATTTTTTCTCTTAAACTAGCCTCCTATAGGACTACTAACTAATCTTTATAGAGAAGTAGACTACTCTTAAAGTCTAGTCTTCCTTTTTAGCTTTAGCTACTTTTTACTACTATTATATCTCCTTATTATTCTACTATAGATAGCTAATAGTTTTAACTAATAGCTTTAATATATTCTCTTAATAGGTATTTTCTTTTACTAATACTTTTCTTACTTTACTCTAAGTTAAGACTTAGACTTTATAAACCCCTTAAACTTTAGTCTAATTTACTATATCCTTCTATATTAGTACTTTAAAGTAAAGATTATCTAATAAGTTAGTGTTTACTACCCTTTTAGTATAATAATTTAGCCTTTTTAATAGTCTATCTATAAGGTTATATTTTCCTTTTTAATAATAAATAGTAAAGTTATATAAAGCTAGTATTATATACTATCTTACTTGCCTACTATTTAGTTACTACTTACTTATAAAGTACTATAGATTATTATAATCTATTAGGACTTCTAGGGGTTTTACTACCCCTTTAATATAGTATTACTATATTTTAAATAACTTTATAATTATAAGTATCTCTTAATCTAGAGTACTATAATTTAATTTAGCCCCCTTAAACTTCCTTAACTAGAATATAACTAAGTACTATAGTCTATCTTTATATAGCTATAATAGTATTTCTACTACTATATAATATAATATATTTATCTTAATTCTAGTTAGTAACTTAAGGTTAAAATAATAGAGAAGTAGTACTATTTTAAAGGCTAATAAGAGGCGTCTAAATACTACCTGTTCTCTAAGATTAAACTATACTTCTTTAGCTTTTTACTACCTTTTATTCCCTTTAATAAGTCTAATAATAGGCTTATTATTCTTATAAAATCCTATATAAACCTACAGTAGAAATTATAAAACCTAAGAAAAACTTAGACTTCTTAATATATAGTAGGTTCTAGCTAAGAATACACTACTTCTACCCTCTTTAGGTTTATTAAAACCTTATTAATAAATAGAATAAACCTTAAGAACTTTACTTACTGTTTATAAAATTTATACTTCTTTAGGTTAGTATATAATATATTATCCCCTAAGCGCTATAAGATTTTTAGTAAGTATTCTATATAGGATTCTTTATCTTTTAAAAAGATTAAAATATTATCTAGGTATATAATATAGAATACATTTATTAACCTTTCTAAAATAATATTAATAAGGTTCTAAAAGGTTACTAAAGTATTAGTTAAGCTAAATAGTATTACTATATACTTATATAACCTATAATAGGTCCTAAATATAGTCTTCTATTTATCTTCCTTAGTAATCTAGACTCTATAGTAAGTATCTTTAAGTTAATCTTAGAGAATACTTTATACTTATAATCCTATTAAAGATTTCTAAAATTAAAGGTAAAAGATAGTAATTCTTTACTAAAACCTTGTTTAGTCTTTAGTAGTCTATATATAAGTAAAAAGTACTATTTTTTTTAGAATAAAGATTACTAGTGCCCTTACTAAACTTTAAGACCTCTAAATATAACCTAATTATAGGTTTTCTTTAATATACTTATAAAGAGTTTTAATTCTTTTAGTAAAAGGAGTAGATTAGCCTAAATAGTACTTTCTTCTCTTTTATAATATTAATCTTATAATCTATAGGTCTCTTTAGTAAAATAGCTAATATATATCTATACTAAAGATGTCTTTACCTCCTCTAACTCTTAAGGAATTATTAAAATTTTTATTATTATATTATTAAAATCTTTATCTAGTAGTAGTAATAACTTAGGTAAAGTTACTATAGTAAAAATATAGCTTTCTAATTATAATTACTTAGTAAACTTATATACCTTTAGTATATTTAATCTTTCTAAGATATAACTTTAAACTACTATATCTATTATAACCTCTTAAATAAATATTTATATCTTTAATTATAGCTATTAATAATAATATAAGGCTACCTTTTAGCCTTAGGTCTTAATTAATAGTAATATAGTCTTAAGTAAATTACTTAGTTATCCCTAAGAATTAGTTACTATTAAAAGGACTTTATAGGCACTATAGGTAAGCACTATTATACCCCTAGCGCCTTTAAGACTAAATACTCTATTTACTTTATTCTAATCCTATTTTCTTTATAAATTTATATAAGATAATATTATATTTTACCTCTAAATCTAAATTAAGGAATAAATCTAGGGGTCTTTAATAGGTTTTAATCTATATTATAATATAAAAACACTATATTATTAGGAATATTAAATAAGATAAAGTAGTTAGGTCTACTTTATCTTTACTTTATTTCCTTATAGATTAGAAATAGTTTAAGATATAGTAGTAGGCCTATTTTACTTCTGTCTAGGTTAAGTATAGTCTTATAAAAAGTGCCTAGCTTATTATAATTATAGTAACCTTAGTAGGTTTTTATTATTTATAACTTTAGTTAGTAGTTATTATTAATACCTTAGATTTAATAAGGCGTTTTCTCCCCTGTTTTTACTACTTTTTTAGATATACTTTAATAGTCTTTTAACCTATTATATTAACCCTTATACTCTCTAAGCTAGCTTTACTATTTCTATATATATTTTTAGTAGCTCTACTACTAATTTTATACTTTATCTTAGAGTTTATTAGTTAATTAATAGTAAAACTCTAGGCTTATTCTTTTTCTAGTCTTTTATTAAATTCTTTTTTAAGAGAGTTAAGATATATATAAAATTACTTAGATCTTAGCCTTCTTTTTACTTTACTATAACTATAGAGTATATAACGTTTAGTTTTAATAGACAGTATCCTTAAGAAAGATTTTAGTTATTCTAAGAAATAATTAAAGTCTTTAGCTTTTTTTTATTTTCCCCTTTAGAAAGTTAATATATTAGTCTTATTTTACCTAGTATTTATTATTTATATTATCTTTTACTAAAATAATTCTTTTTTCTAGTTTTCTAAACTTTTAAGTATACTAGTAATAATATATATAAATTATTAATCTACACCTCTTACTATTATAGGCTAAACCTTAACTTTAATTTACTTATTTCCTTAAGGGTGTATTCTTTTTTACTACTTAACCCTAAAGTGTTAAAGTGTTATTAGCCTTTTATTACTTAGGTAATTAATTTTTCTAGTTATATAACTTCTAAATTTTTTATAGTTACTGCTTTAACTTACCTCTTAAGTACTTAAATATACTTAAGAATAGCTTAAAAGATTAAGCCTAATATAGCGCTTAGGCTACTCTACGCCTAGCTTTTACTACTATTTCTAGGTATATATAGTATTAACTTAATAGCTTTTATTATATAGAATAAAAATAAATAAGGAAAATTAGAATTATAATAGCACTAGTAAAAAGAAGTAATAATTAAAATATAGGTCCTATATTATATAAAAGCTAATTCTTAACCTAGCTATTACTAGCCTTTTACTAGAGGGTTAGCACCTTTTTAATCTTGCGTTTATTTAGCCCTGCTAAGTAAAACGCTTACTAAACTATATTAGGAATAATATTCCTTTAACCTGCTAGGTCTACCTAGGACTTTAGGGCAATTGCCTATTGTCCTATAATATAGTAAAATATACTAAAACCTTAACACTTTTACTACTTTAGCTTTAAGTAGCTAATACTTTACTTATACTTAGTAGAAAAATTATATAACTAGTATATAGACTTTTTATTTAATTCTCTATGTATAATAATCTTCTTAGAATTATTAAGACTAGGGTTATATAGTTAAAGCTATAGTGAAAAAGAGCAGTTTTAGTGTAAATAGGTGATCGCAAAGTGGGGGTGATCGGAAAGCGGGTGCTTTGACTTATTCCTTTAGATAGCTCGGCATCAGGAGACAGACGATAGCAGCATGGTTTTGATAAGTATCAAATTAGAAAGAAGAAAGAAATTGGACGCGTGACGATTTTTGTTTACCTCGCTTAGGCCCTGATCTTCTCGTTGCTAGTCGCCTATTGCCAATCGCCAGGATCTGATGCCAGAAAAAAACCCATGGATCGACGGGTGGTTGCTGCAGCTGCCACTACCCTTAGTAGGTGGGCGGTCAGAGGTACGCTACGGCCTATTGCGGCAGTACATCCACCACTGGGTTGGTCGGAGAGTCAGTGGCGAAGTCCCTCTGGCGATTGGCATTAGGCGACTGGCAACGAGAAGATCAGGGCCTTAGCGTCACAAACGGAACTTCAGCAACAAGCGTTATACGGCAACAAATTTGCGAAGCGGAAGCATTCTTGCGGCTCCTGCTAGGTTCTCAACATCCCAATGTTCTAGACCTGAGGCGCATCCCCCAGTCTGGGCTTCCAGACCCCCAGCTGGGCCTCGCCTAGACCCTCCCCCCGCGAAAACTCCTTTCCCCGGCCCAGGATCTAGTTAAAAGTGTCCTTGTACCCATTGCGTTCCAGTCCGGAAATCGGGGCACATGTAAGCCCCACAAGTACTAGCTAGTATTACGTGGCGGCAACGACTAACAAAGAGCAATGGCAACTGTCCGGAGGTGTCATAGCTCACAGAATATACAATGCGGCGCCCCAATGTGGTGCTCTGAAATCCAGATCACTTGTGAGCGGTGGCTTGGACTGCGGCTGAAGCCAGAGCGACTAGGCCGCATAAATCGCATGCTTGACCTGTATGCCCGCAACCAGCGATTTCCGTGCCCATGGTAGCATACTCTTGAGAACGGCAAGGCGCCTGTGATTTGTTGGCGATCTAAGCCTAACCGTCTTATCTTTACAAACGCGTACATGTCTTGGCCGTTCACCGTAACCTTCAACAAAGAACCTAAGATGACGGTTTTATGAACATTGTATCTTGAGATGCCACTAGTCATCAAGGAGGAATTCATCCTTAACCTAGTAGCAAGACTCTGTGTCCCACTTGAAACTTATTTGTTATCTTACCACCTTCCATCAGGCCCACCATCCAGTTTTTCTCAGTTTCACTTTTTGGTGTCAATTTCATTTGATTTGGGAATCGGTCCTCGAGCCTTTGGTTTTCAATGAGCTTGAACCGGGTCCCTGTCGTACACGAGTATTATTCCATTTAGTCATTGAATGATCAACGACCCCAAAGTTGTGGCAGCTAGTGTTGAAGGATATTGACGAGAGCTGGCACACTTAGCCATTAGCTAGTATGGGCCTCGAAAAAAAGGAATTCCTGGTGTGTTTATCTACACTTATGCGTAATAACGGTTACTAATACTGCATATAGATTGGCGAGTGGGTTTTTGTCGCTCTTTGCTTCGCCATCACCGTCGCCCGGCTTGCAGTACGCACATGGCACCGAGTATGGTCCTTTTGGCTGTCCGAAATCTTTCTCGTGCTTTCTCTCTTATTCTTCCTCACACTGGTCGTAGGAGATACCTATACAATATCTATAGGTAAAGACGCCTTTGTCGAGGAGTATTTTGATGAAGGCTTTGCAATTGTATACATGCCCCTGCTGTATCCACCACTTGGAGCGTACGCTGATACATTACACAGTGGAAATTCTCCAGTTCAATCATCTTCGATCTGGGATTTTATCTTCCGAGATTTAGTCTGCTTGCTTTCTACTACGAGCTCTTCCCAACAGCCGAGAAAAAGTTACGGCTGCGCCTCCACATGGTTACAGCGTATACCGTTTGTGCATTTCTTACAACCGGATTCGTGGATCTATTCTGGTGTGGCGCTGACCTATCGGTAAATTGGTGGGTCGCTTTGTATGGAATCAACATGTCTGGACTTTTTCTGATTCTTCTCTAGGGCGAACAGCGACACTAAATGCACATTGGCCAATTGTATGGAGCCCATGTATATCAACTGGTCAATTGGTATTATCTCAGAATTACTTGGTAAGTTTTCGGAACTATCAAACATGGGCATTACTAACAAGAAAATAATATCAGTCTTTGCACTACCGTTCGGAATACTCAAGTTAAGAGCTTTGCAGACGAAGGATAGGAGAGCATTGTTCTGCATATTCCTCCTAGGCATATTCACAGTTATAATCAGCGCCGTACGGTTTTACTTGACCGTGAGATCTATTTGGAGCTTAGAGACCTGTAAGACCTTCCCCTGGGCACAGCTTTCATTCATCGACACGAATTAACAAGGTGTAGATCTTGTTGGTTCGGGAGAAATTGCCACACAGATCATCGTCATTGCAATACCGGCTCTCCGCCCTTTGCTAGGTGCTATTACACGTAGTTGGAGTAGATACTCCGATTCAAGGATACAGTCACGCAGCAAGCAACCGGTCAACGACATGAAACAAACCCAGCAAGTGTCTGTCACAAATATCAGCGTTTAAGGCAGCGAACGAGTTACGAGATATTTTATCACCTCCGGCATTATCAAAGACGCCAGGTTACCTGAGCTAGGACAGGTTCTTGTCATGGAGATCTAGAGATGGGAGACGAGTTATGAATACGTTCCAAATATAAGCGACTTATAGTTGAGGAATTTCAGGCAAGCACGCCAACGACAAATATTGTTGACAACACTCGAAGCATAGAAATATCTATAAAAGTACATAAAATAAATACATACGTACCCCTGATGAGTCATATGGGTAATACGAACAGTTCATTCATTATTCATGCCAGGGCTTGTGCTGAGAGGTATGCTGAACTGCGAGGACTCTCGGGAGATCTACATTGGTAAAGTGCTGAGTAAGGTACAGATACAAGGCAGTCCTTCTTAGGGCCTCAGAGGTAATACAAAACGATACTAGCACGGTCGGAAAAGCAAAGCATGAGTGTTATGCGCGAAAATCAACACCACAAAGGGAAGGTTCTAAATAGAAACACAGCACCATTCTTGTGGACCACGAATAAGTTGATCTTGAAGACCGCGGCCATGCGCCAGCATACGGGGGCGAGATAGGTTGCTAAACGGCGTGGTTGTCCAGGGATTACTAGTTGATATCTTGTGGCGGTTACCTAACCTGGTATTGACCCTTCTGTTTGTTCACTACATTTGCATACTGATAATTATGACATACGGGATAAACTTGACTATTGGATACCAAGCGTTTGTCATTTTCCCCTTATCTTTTTGTATAATCTTCTAGACCTAGGTTGGCTGGGTGGTTATTTCGATGTCGTGAAGGGCAAGGTCGATAATCACTTCCCAAAACAAACAGGTAGTTTAGGATATGCCAGTGGGCCACAAGAGCCAGTTTGCGACAGCGTACCCCGCCGGTGCCACCAGACTGCTGCTTTTGACAACCCTTGCTATTGATTGTGAAGTTGCCATGGCTGAGACCATGTGAACAATGGTCGCTGCAGGGGATAAATCAGTCTAGCAGTAAAACTTCGGTCTTATCCATCATCAACTGGACAACAATTTTACAGAAGCTGGAAGTATGCGGATAGCTGATGCATCACAGTGACAGCTGGTGACGCCTTAAGAACTCAATGTGGAACAAGCGCCATCAGTTAAATTGAGTTTTCACTTAGTCTTGGCGGTAATTAAATGCAATATATCCGAGTTGCACCATTCTTTTTTTGCAACTTTGTACCCAGGACAGGGGTTCGGTATGTAGTACACCGGTATTAACCTCCTTATTCACAGCTCAATAAATACTCGGTAATTAGCGCTAGAAGAAGTGCCCAATCCTCCGAAGACAAACACTGACTTGGCATTCGGGTCGTTCTTTCATTGATTCCATTGTGTCTACATTTTCTAGTCACCGTCATGAAAGCTACTCTGGCTGTTCTTTTAGTGCTGCGGGTCGCTCTTGCCACGTCAACCGTCATCACGCCCGCAAGTTCACGATTATCACGCTCAAATGGCCTGGTAGAACGCCTGCCGCCTGCCAGCATCGACGAACTCATCAAGAAGAGAGGAAAACTCTACTTCGGTGTTTCAGGCGACAATGGGATCATGCAACAGGGAAAAACCGAAGCCATCATCAAGGCAGACTTTGGACAGGTGACGCCAGAGTATTCAATGAAATGGGATGCTATTGAGCCCACCCGAGGCAATTTCAGTTGGGACAACTCCGATTACATTGTTAACTGGACGCAATCGAATAACAAGACTTTGCACGGACACGCCTTAATCTGGCACACGGCGTTACCTACATGGGTATCAGATATCAAGGACAAAAGTGTACTTACCAGTGTTATTGAAAAACATGTTTCAACAGTGGTTGGGAGGTACAGAGGCAAAATCAGGGCTTGGGTAAGGTTTCCTGTGAAGATAGCCATACAGCAAGGGCGCTAACCAAACATGATGTGGTAGGACGTTGTTAATGAGATCTTCAGTGATAACGGCACTCTCCGGAACAACACGTTCTTTAATGTCATGGGCGAATCATATGTCGGTGTTGCTTTTCGCGCGGCTCGGGCTGCGGACCCAACCGCTAAGCTCTACATCAATGACTACAACTTGGACAACAAAGAATGGGGGAAAGTTTCTGCGTTAGTCAAAAAAGTCGATCAATGGATTGGGCAGGGAATTCCCATTGACGGTATCGGTATGCCTACGTGGAATGCAGAGGGGTTGAACTGCGTACTGACGTCTGAAACAGGCTCTCAGTCTCACCTGGCTCCAAACATGTCGAGCAACGTCGAAGGAGCGCTGCGATTACTCGCTACCGCCTGTGTCTCCGAGATTGCCATTACTGAGCTGGATATTGATGGTGCTCCACCGGCCGACTATGCGGCTGTTGTAGGCGCATGCCTCAATGTGTCAAAATGTGTTGGTGTCACCACATGGGGATTGAGCGATAAGGTATGGTGAAAACCAAGCCCTCCATACGGTCTAGTTTTTACTGACATTGGGTAGCAATCTTGGAAGAATTCCTCGAAACCGCTTCTCTTCGACGAAAATTACAACCCAAAGCCGGCATACAATGCCATAGTCAACAGGCTTATGCGAAAGTGATAGGTTCTGGGGGAATATTTCTGTCGGTAAACTGTATAATAAGAAGATTCATATCATAGATGGGCCATCCGTAATGTTACAATAATATGTACAAAGACCGCCTGAAGACAACAATCAGTTATTAATCGTTTACCTGTTCCTGGATTTGTGTCATAGTGAATGTTCATTTGGCCTTGGCGAGAGAGTGGGTTTATGTTATTTGTACCCCTTTAATTGCCAACTGACCCCACTAACCCCTGGTGCGGAGTAGAGCCAATGCATTTACAGCATTAAGTCCGACAAGCCAATAGTTTTTAGCGTTTTACCTATGCCATAGGTACTAGCAATCTCCGCCTTTACAAAGGGGTACATTACAGTCTAAGCAGCTCTACCGGAGGCTTGTTAGGCCAGACTGTTGCGTTATTACACTGCTCTAGGCAGCAGTTATCTAGGCAAGCAACAGCAAAGTCCTCCAGCAAGACCTCCACGTAAATAGTAGTATACATAGAGGTATCTGAATCAGAAGACATCGTGATTTTAATAATGATGTTCGTAATAATGTTGAAATTGGTGGTAGTTGCTAACAAAATAACATTCTAAAATAATGTATTATCATGTATGTCCGAAAGTGAGGGGTAAAAGTGGGGGTGGTGTAAAATCAGGGAGACTCGTATGCTTCAGTGGTACTCTATCGAAGAAAACCTTTTACCGGTTTGCTTAGGCAATTCAAGTGCTTTGTTCCCGTTATCTCGAGCTCCGTGCGTTTCAAAGTGGCAGCTGCCCGTGTACTAGCTGGTCAACTTTGAGTAATTGGTTCAGACGGAAACTGATGTGGCTAGAGTTGGGATGGAACCTCTAGCCTCTTTAGGGCGCATGCAATTGCGCCAAAAGCAGTGACAGCAAGGACAGGTTACCTGGGGGTCCTAGGTCTGATGAACTAAAGACCCCCTCCTCACAGAGGGGGCAAAAAAAACAGGGGTTACAGTAAGAAAAGGGGGGTTACAAATAGTGCATAGTATAGCAGCTCACTAAGCTTTCTAATAAAAATATATACTTAGAGATTTAGTTTTCAAAATGTTTTTTAATGTTAGTTTTTACTTAGGAAAGTACGTATTTCTGTTAGCTTGCTCTATAAGCTGCTACACTACGGATATGCACTATCTATTACCCCCTTTTTCTTACTGTAACCCCTGTTTTTTGCCCCCTCCGTGAGGAGGGGGTCTTTAGTTCATCAGACCTAGGACCCCTGGGTAAATGGGCAGGAAGATTTTGTGGTCAGTACTCCGTATTTTGCCAGAAAAGGGCGGAAGATAGGACAAATGCGGACACCCATGCCGGGGTACATGCATCAACGGCGAGTGCTGATGGGAAATGTCCGCTAGGTCGGCAAACATAAGCACCGATGCACCGTGTGGTGCCAGGAGAGTATTAGAGAACTTGGACTAGGGGATACCCACTCGATGCAGCAGATCTGTTTTCTGCCACCCCAAACCCAGCCAAACCATTGGCTTTGCTGTTTCTTTCATGTGAAGTGGCTGCAACGAAGGTGTCTTTGTGCCTCGCAGCTCGGCCTTAGCACTGAGCCGGGTTCTAGAATATGACAACAATATCGGAGGTAACCGTGCCGTGATGGGTCAAACTGACGGACGGATGACATTTCCTGCGCCCGGCTGAAGGGTGACGCCTTGTGACCGTCCCCCCAGCCCTGTTTTCACGGGCTCGAATCTCCAATCTCAGGATATTTTCTGTCATGCTAGAAACAATGCCGTTAGTCGCAGAGCAGCAACTAACGCCTTATATAGGACCTATAGGTCACAACATTTTCTTTAAACAGTTCAAGCCACCCCATCGACCATCGCAGCCCTCATACCTAGATCACCATCATATTTTCTCTTTCAGCTCCATCTTCGAAAGCGGATTAATCCTCCATCAGGCTACCGCAGCTTATTTTGAAGGCTTATCTTCCTTCGGACGTAGCTATGTCGAATTCGGGCTTCCTGCCAAGGGCGCCCCTATCACGATGGGGCGCCGGACAGCGCAAATCATTTCTCGTACCCATCATCGCGGCATCGATAACGATCCTTCTTCTTGTTCTGGCCAACATGTCGTTTCTCTTCGGAGCAACCTTCGAGCAAGCAGAACGCATTCACGCCCTCAAGATTCTGACTGTCGACCTCGATGGAGGTGCCATCGGTTCGGCTATAGCAGCTGCGTCGAAGAGTCTTCAGGCCACAAACTTCCCTACAATCGAGTTCGGTTCGGCTTCAGAATACTCAACACCAGCGGCGGTCAAGAATGCTGTTTGCAAGGGAGATTATTGGGGTGCAATCTACATCAACAAAGGCGCATCGGAGAAGCTCGCCAGCGCCCTTAGCGGAACTTCAAACACCGCCTACAACGCCGCCGACTCCGTTACCTACACCTACAATCAAGCTCGGTATCCAGCGATAGGCGACTCCGTGCTCGCAAGCAACATGCAAAAGGTCGTGGCCGCATCCAGAGGTTTCTACTACAAATCACCCAACGGCACGGCCGCCCTCCGGTCTTTGGATACTGCCAACCCGGCCGCTGTCACCGCATACCTGAACCCGATCTCGTCCACGCCTGATATTATCGGCGCCCAGACGCAAGCCAGCCGCGTCTATTTCAACACTGTCAATATCATTGTGCCGACCTTAGCCCAACTCTTCTTCATTCTGGCGCTGAACGGTATCTTCATGAGCTCCGGTCTTCATGCCATGGCGAGGATCCGTGACGTCTGGCTGCTTCGTTTCGTCGCCGGCAAGATCTACTGCCTCCTTACTGCTCTCACGGTCACGGGTTACCTGTGGGCTTTCAGGGAAAATTGGGCCGTCAGTGGCCCAGAGTTTGGCAAGACGTTGCTTGTATTTTGGCTCTACATGGACGTACAGTGGCAGGTGTTGGAATCCATTTTGGGATCCTACCTACCCATGCAACTCATGCCTTTCTTCTTCTTGACATGGATGCTTACCAACGTGGCAAGCTGCGTCTCCCCATTCGAGCTCATGGCCGGCTTCTACAGGATTGGCTATGCTTTTCCGGCGCATGAGGTCTATTCCCTCTTGGTGCAGGTCTGGAGTGGCTGTGCTGACCAGACGCGCATCGCGTTGCCTGTTCTCTTTTCCTGGTGGGTTGTGGGTCATGTCGTGTCAGTCTTTTCTATCCGCAAACGGTGTGTCGATGCCAGAAAGATGGCTGCCGCTGCCGCCGAGGATCCGTTGAGAGACAACACAGCCTCCACTACCCCCCGCTCGAATAGTACGGAAATGACTTTACATTCCAATGAGGAGGCCGGTTCCGAGAAACAGATATAAGCGTGTATGATACCCTGGAGGATATGGCGTTGGAGGAAAAGGTTGAGAACACGAACGTCTGATGCAGCAAGTTATTACATAGCATAATACAGCTTTCTTTTCGATTCAGTTTGGGACTTCTAGATATGGGTATGAATACCTGATATTACGGCCTTTCAAGGTCGCTTTTCTAGACTATGTTGCTACTCCTCATGTGCTTTAGGATAGGTTCAACTCACATAGCCACGATGTGTTCCCAAATCATATCTGGCCTTCGGAGACATCGATACAATACCTCTTAATATTATCAACAGTACGTCCGGTGTTACCAATACCTTGCACAATATTGAAAGATCCTGTGATGTTTAGGCATTTGCCAACTAAGCAAGTTCAGAGGAAGACCAATGATAGGCGGCGACGTGGAACACTCTTTGCGTAATCGATTCATGGAAAGGTACAATCCGCAACTTTCAATTTCTAGCTCCCAACCCCCCGACTAGCTTACTGACGATAACCTATTCTGTGTATAACATTTTTGGAGAACTTTTCGTTTCATCCAAACTAGCGAAAACACCACACATTTTTCTGCTTCGACAGCTCGATATTGACGCTGCTTTCATGAGGACGAGTTCCATATTTCCATAGCATTATTTAGCTAACTTTTCTGCGAATACATAGCTACGCTTTAACTAAGCCCTAGATGAGACTCCATCGATCTCAAAGCCTCGAAAAGATCGTTGTCATGGTACTTTCGTGCTACGATCTGAATACCGACTGGAGCACCCTCGAAATCGCCTTCGGTCCACAGTTTCCTGACCAGCTCGTCTTGCCCACTCAGTGGTACCTCATCAGTAGTGGCATAGTTCTCTAAGCCTTTACCCAGTGCCTTGATCGGCGTGGGGACAACGACGCCTGGGTAATCGACATAGTTCCAGAAGGCAGTATAATTCCAGAACAAGCAGGTCTCGTGCACGCTTGCAGGGCCAACGTAAGCAGGACAGATGACAACATCAACGTCCAACTGGTTCCAGTGAGACGCAAAGTCGCATCTGAAGTTGTCCCGGGTAACTCGTTGCTGGAGAACGCCTGCTGCGTCCAAATCTTGCCCAGTTGTTTCGGCGTCCGCGATCATGGCTTCTGTGAGTGGCAGCATGGGCTCTCCAGTTGCTGCTAGAGCTTGTTTGACTTGCCTCCCTCTATCGGGGAAGAAGGCCAACTGGATGTTACGAAGGGCCTCTTCGGCACGGTATGGCGTGAAGCTCTTGATTTCGAAACTCGGGAGGTTGCTCAATCTGGCACGGGCCCAGTTGAGGGCTCTAGTCACTGGCGGCTGAGGTACAATGAGCCCGTCGTTCATCATGAAGCCGATCTTGAGTGGCGCGTTCTTTGGCTTTACATTCAAGCCATTCCAAGGAATTGGAATCAGGCGCGGGTCTTCCAGATGTGGTTGCGCTGCTTTTAAGACAGACACAAAGAAGTCCATATCTCTCAAGGAAACTGCAAGGGGCCCAGTCGATCCAAGAATATTGAGCTCTGCGGAAAATCCACTAGGTCCAACAAAACCTTTCATAGGGAGTGTGTACGACGTCGGTTTAAAGCCGTAAAGGCCGCAGAAAGTTGCTGGTGCTCTGATGCTGCCGCCGATGTCTGTGCCGATGCTGAGAATAGAGCCACGCATCGCGAGGAGCGCAGCGCCGCCGCCGGTCGACCCGCCGGCTGTTAGGTTGATATTGAATGGGTTGAGAACACGACCATAGAGAGAGACGGTCTCCAAGTGCATGACACCTTGAGGCTGAGCCGTCTTGCAGTAGAGCACTGCGCCAGCCTGTCGCAATATGGCTATCATATGGCTATCAGCGTCATCGATATGGCGAGTAATCAGAAAGCCCAAGGAAGAGTAATGGCCAGCCACAGGAATCATCTCTTTGACACTTATTGGGACACCGTGCAAGGGGCCGACTGTCTTCCCTGTTTTTGCAAGGTGCTCATCAAGCGCTTTGGCTTGGTCGATGGCTTCATCCATAAACCATTCTGTCAGGCAACACGTGAGTTGATGGGCGATGATTGCTCTCTTGGCAAATGCCGTAGCAGCCGCGACGGCAGTGAACTTTCTTTGTGCAATGGCGGCAGCTAAGCCGACAGCGTCAAAGTTCTCGGTAATGTAGATTTCCTCGTTGGATAGAATGCCACACTCTCCAGGGACAGTCATGACATTCTGAGGTGGCTGGTTGATGATCGTGGATGAGACATGGTAGTCTTGTGGCACTTTGGCCGAAAACTCCTCGATGAGTCTTTGGCGCGTGGCCTCGAATTCCGGACTACCCGAAGGAGACGATACCAATTCGACGACGGGTAGAGAGACTGGCGCCATTATAAGAGTATCTCAGTAGAATATAAAGGGTTTGAGAATTCAATGCTTCAGCACTGAAGAAAGTGCTGGGGCAATCAATCAGAGTCTTTGGACATGTATGAGAGGTGTTGCGTATCGGGTTATACGTATCGTAATATTCTTTGCCAGGACCAATCTTACTGTGAACCCAATGGTGGATGATGTTGCACACGAAACAGCTGATCGGACTATTCGGAATTGGGTCGTTTTAGCTTGATTCATTTTTGAGCCAGTCGGCTTCGATGGGGCGGCAAATGAGATTTCGTAATCGAGCGCGCCCTCAAGAAAACTAGTCAGAGATATGCGATCGAACCCTCCTAAGAACGGGACATTAGACCGGATACACGGGCCAAGATGCTTGATCACAGATACATTATTTGGCGGGGTCAAGCCATAGCCCAAGTCCGACTTGCACCCTTGCCCTTTCTTAGTCGTATCGAAAAGCTCCACATTTTTCAGTCGCATTGTGGCGCCGATTCAGCCTTACGAATCTTGACTAATCTTGTTGGATTTGAGTTCGTGCCCGGTTGCAATCCCGCAAACTGGATTGCCCACACACCTGGAAGCCTGTCGAATGATGGCGAATGAGTAAGACGCTTGTTTGAGCTTCCGCAGCTGCGTTGCCAGAAAAGGGCGAATCGCGTTGCCGCAACATGTCTTGGCAGGTCTAAGAACGTACAGTTTCCTTTTTGGGAAACTGTGCATGGTGGCTCGACCCAGACACCCGGTTCAACGTATAATTTCCGTAAACGGCAATCGGTATACACATTGTCAACCACATCATTTTGTTGGTCACTACGTGATGGTCCAGCCCTCCGAGACCATGTCTGATTCCTACCTTGTCCAGTGAGAATGCGACTGGCTGATCCAATCAATGGGCTATAGAGGAAACCCCCTCCTCGCATGCCACTGCGCCAGCCTGATGGTAATAGCATATGATTCGTTGAAAGCAGCCCATTTGAGATATTTGACGACGAACTCGCTATTTCGGGATCACATGAATATCTTGAGAAGCATCCGCGGCCGACTGTAGGCTTAGCAAGCTGACCAGAAGCCTCAAACTCTCACTAGTTAGTTCCACAATATTCCTCCAATACCGACGGTGCCATCTGCGCCAACCATTCATGCCACTATAACGATGGGTATCTGCCATTGCTGACTTCTATTCTAACGAATCATCACTATTTCTCGGACTTGATCCTTCTTAGCATTACCGAAGTCCGTCAGCTGTTTGTGTATGCATATGCGCTAGGGTCCACTGCCTATGAGAGGGGTGGGTGAGGGGGGTGAGTGGGTGTCCCCATCCTCTCAGGTCGTAGACCCTGGCGCTGTCATTTTCCTAATCGCGAAAGTTGATGTTCTTAGACCGCATATGTCTGGACGAGCAGGAATCTAATGATGTTGTAGACCCTCGAGCTATCAGCCTTACAGCATATTGGCATCGGGCAGCAAAGTATAGTTGTAGCACCGCGGCTGTGCAGGCAGGGCGTATATAAGATGTGCTCAAATCCCATACAACTTACAATTATGCATTCGAACATCAAGCTGAGTCAATCATATCGTCCTTGCATCACCAATCTTCGGTCCCGAATCCAAAAGTCCGATCACGTCAATATGCCCGGCCCTATCATTCCTGCCTCAGTCGTTGTTGCATTGTCTGATCCGACAAGAATCTGCCAATGCGTGGCAACTTCATCACCGCCATCTTCGAGCTCGACTTGCTCAAAGTGCTCTCTTCCAAAAGCAGCAGCGTCGTCCTCTTAAGTGGGTTTCTCATTGCAAGTTCTGAATACTCAAAGCGCGGATCCGAGAAGAGGTTGGCATAGCCATAATCACCCATCAGGCATTCAAAACTAACATTGTGTCAGTTCCCCCCATCGATGGAAATTTGTCAAATGCACGGATATGACATCAATAGTAGACAGGTTGCACTCAAGTTGCCAGTAACTCTTCCGACTATGCAAAGGATCGCACCTTCTTTCCAATCTTATCTTGTCGGCGTGGGTTTGAAGTATCTTTTTTTCTTTATTTCCACTGAAATTATGTTATTTACGTCGAAACCGATGCTTTTGGAGTTTACATTCGATTAGAACATTATACGAATGATAGATATTGATACATTCACCTGCCATGGGTCAAAGTTTCTCCTGTTTCGGGCTATATTATGGACTGTGCTTTATTACCATTCTACAGAGCGTACTAGACTATACCGCTCAGAGAGGGGCTAAACTACCCCTTCGTCTGTGTTTCGACACCTCTATATTTTCCGTTGTATATTAGACTATCCTTGCTAGACCACATGTCACGTTTTCATGTGTTCGTTGGTCGCACAATAGTAGAACCACATTTACAGGGGAATATGTGGCAGTCGGAAGCGGTAGAATGAAATTGCTATAATCTGGATGTCTTACTCCTGGGAATGTAATCTACAGCTAGTAAGGCCTGATGAGGCTAACTGCGTCGGAAGAGGCCCCGTGACGTAAGATAAAAAGGAAATCTGATATCATGAACAAATCCTTTCCTATTTCGACAAGAAACCGTAGTCATTCGAGTTATCCTCTTCCGTTATCCATATTTATGTACACGTTACAGATAAAGAAAAAAGAAAAAAAGTGCTTTTGCCTCCTGAGGCATATTGAAACAATAGTAAAGAAGTTCTTAGGGGCAAAACGAAGGTACTTTGAGATCATTAGAAGGAGCTCTTACTGCCCATGAGAATGATGCCGACGGCCTCCTCCCAGCCACGGCCGGCTGCGATCTCCATGATGGAGCGCCCGGCATCGTCCTTCGCGTCGAGGTCGACGCCGCCGGCGTCTACCAGGAGCTTGAGCACCTTGGCATCGCCGTTCTCGACGGCCTGCATAATGGCGTTCCACCCGCGGTACAGTTTGTTGACGTCGGCGCCATTGCGGAGGAGCATCTCGATGATCTCAAAGTCATCGCCGCGGCACCGGCGCACGGCCTTGACGATGGGCAGGTGCTCACCGGGGGCGTTGATGTCGGCGCCGCCCTCCTCAATGAGGAAGCGCGTGATCTCCTTATTATCCTCGCGGATGGCTGATGTCAGCGGCGAGAAGACGCCGCCGTTTTTGTCCTCAACCGAGACGCCAGCCTGAATGAGAAGCTTGACGCTCTCAAGCTTGTTCGCGACGACAGCACGTTCCATCAGGCCCTTGAACGAGCGAGGATCCGCGACGGCGGGGAGTAGCTTCCTGAGGACTTCCGGGCGTTGGACGGACATGACAATGGGCCAGTCGGTGCCGCGGACGTTGGGGTCCGCCCCGTGGGCGACGAGCTCGTCGAGCATCTCTATGCGGTTCTCCCTGATGGCCGTCGTCAGGGGAGTGTTGCCATCCTCGCCCTTTTCGTTGGGACTCACGCCCTGGTCAAGAAGCCACATAAGGGCCTCCATGTTGTTGACCTTGACGGCCTTCTCGATGATGCCCTTCGGCTTGTGAAGGTCGTTGCCAGCCGCAACGAGTCGGGGGAGGAAGTGCGTGCGGAAATGCGTCACACACTTGAACGCGGGGTACTCGGCCGAGTTGAGGTTGGGGTCGGCTCCATTCTGCAAGAGAAGCTCGAGGATGTCTGCGCGGTTGTCGCGGATGGCCGTGCAGAGGGGCGTGTAGATGCCGTCCTTCTTGATATTAGGGGACACGCCGGCAGCGAGCAGCACGCGAACGGACTCGATGTTGTTGATACTGACGGCAAGCTCCATGTTGCCAGGCGCCTTTTTGTTGTCGGCGCCACGGGCGAGAAGGACCTTCAAGCAGGGAGCCTGGTAGGTGGCGGGCCAGAGCATGTGCTTCGGACCAGGAAGGTTAGGGTCAGCTCCGTGGTCCAGAAGAGCAGTGACAAGGTCTACTCGCCCGGCCATAATGGCCTCGAACAGAGCGGTCTTGCCCTCACTGTTCTTGACGTTGGGGTCGGACCCGTACTCCAGCATAACGTCCACCAACTTCTTGGGGGTCGACTTGGTCATGGAGGCAATCAGAACAGTGTTGCCATTCGCCATGATGTGGTTTGGGTCGCCGCCGTATGTGAGCAGCAGGTGGACGAAATCGATCTTGACATCGATGACGGCGATGGCGAGGGGGGACTCTAGCGCGGACCCGGCAGACAAATTGGGATCCGCACCGTACTTGAGAAGCAATTTGGCGATCTCGGGGGCGTTCGTCTCCACCGCGGCGAAGAGGGGTGTGATACCGTCCTTGTCCATCGAGTTAGGGTCGGCGCCAAACAGAAGAAGCAGGCGGATGCTTTCGTGGTCCTGGGACAAGACAGAGTCAACGAGGACGTGCTGGTTTGGTCCGGTCTCGGGCGAAACGCCTCGGTCTAGCAGTTGCTCCAGGACCTTGTGGTTCTTCGTCTGAACGGCAGAAATGAGAGACGCCTTGAGAGCCGGGTTGTTGTTAGCGGGGTGGCGCGGGGTCCAGCGTGGCATCGTCATGGGGTCGGCCCTCAAGCGGACAACCTTGGTCGGGAGGCAGTCGGCGGCGCTCTGCAGCTCTCCTATCAATGTTTCTGTGCCTGAAGACGAGTGTGATATCGTGCGGTCCTCCCGGAGGACTCCACGGTCCGAGATGGTATAATCATCGGGCCCTGGCCTCCTCTCAGTTTGTATTCTTGAGCTTGTGTGACGTTCGTATTCGCCGTGCTCTGAGATGATGGTATCATCGCGGCCAAGCCTGCGATCGGGGATTCTGGAATGGTGTCCGTTCTCCGAGGAGCTATGGTGACTTTTGTTGGAAATAGATCCAGGGCGTCGTGGCTCTGGGGTCATCCTCAACTCATGGAGGGCCAGTTCTGCCGACATCTTCTCTATCAAAGAAGGAGAAGTGTTGTGGGAAGTCTGCGAGAGTGCTTTAGGGATCGGAGGAAGGGGAACAGTGGGCGGGTCTGAACGACGGGGTGGCGGCGCAGACTGAGCTTCAAAAGACTTGGCTCTAGCTATCCTCGCTGTCGGGTTCTGGTCGCCCATGCGGTCCAGAGCAGCGGCAAGACCAACATAGCCTTCGCCAGGGACATCATCAGTCTTTGTATCCCCCATGGACCATTGGAAGATGAGGGCGCTCATCCTCAGTGCTTCCTTGGCCCTACGAATTGATTCTCTCGTCTTGTTCACCTCCTTGTCGACGAACATCATGCGCCAGCCGCGCTGAAACTTGCCCACGGTGCCCTTCCTCTCGTACTCGAGGAATTCGAACATCATGTGGTCGAGGGCTTGGAAATCGTTGTTGGTCTGGCGGAACTTGCCCTCGAGTTCCATTATCATGTCTGCTGGGAACTCCTGGTCGGCGCGGGACGCCTCCGAGAGACCCGCCTCGATGGACCAGAGGATCCGGCAGATGTCGAGGAAGTCATTGGCGAGCGTCCGGAAACCATGTGGCTGGTGCTTGACGGTGGTGAGAAACTCGAGCATGCGTACCGAGATGCTGTTTCCAAGGAGGGTAGCCCTTGTGCAGAGGTCTAGGACGGAGTCCTTCGACTTGGGTTTGCCGTGCATGGCGCCAGACATCGTTCTTCTTCGGGTTTGAGGAAACGGCTGAACTGACATGAAGATGTGGTGAACGAGGGGAAGTGCGCTCGGCCAAGATGGGGCAGGATGATGTACCAGACTCTTGTACTATGGTAAGGATAGCCGTGTATATATGGCTCCCACAAACGTCCAACAGCGGCTTCACAACTGTGATAAAGGGGCAACAGGGATTGGTGAAGGGGCCTCTGTCATCTCACGGACACAAGCCTGGGAATTGCCCGGCTATTATCTGCTTCATTATGCGGTTGAGATCGAGCTCTGGGTCAAGCGATTTCACATGTTCCACACCCCTCTGAATAGGTGGTTCTCGGCTAGGTTGGAGCGCAGCAGGCGTTCATCGAAAGTGTCAAGAGCCTAACGGCAAGCCACCATCCATGCTAACTGGGGCCCGTTCAGAATGGCAGGGCATTATGCTGGCTCAGGGCCTGAATCGTGAATGCATTCCATACGGACAATTATGGTAACTACCTCGCAGGTTGAGAAAGCCAGAGTACCAGGTACAAGGAATATTCCAAGAATCAAGCCGACACTAGTCCAATCGAACCCCAGAGATGCGGAGGGCGAGGTCGTCCGCTTTGACACCAAGGGCCACAGTTCGGACTGATAAGCCAATGCGGCCCCATCTCTGACCCAGCTGTCAAACGGGCCTGGCCTGGGGTCATAGCGTGATTCTCGGACTCTTCAGCGGAATAGCATGGATTATTGGTCAATCCAGACGAAAACCAGAGGAAAGGGACTAAGCAAGGATTGGCAGTGCCGTTTGGGAGAGGGGGGGGGGGGGGTGGTTACATAGATGTAGTGTAAGTGCTTGCTTGTAAATCCGTGTCTATTCTTCCGCCGATGGCGTTTTGAGTCGAGAATAGTCTTGCCACATAAGGAACAGCGCTGGCGAGAGTCGTGGCATGCCGGAACCTTAGAATGTTCTCCTTGTCTGTGTATCGCGCACTTCTTGTCTAGTTCTCCTGTCGCCGCACGGAATCTCGCGCTAGTTAGCAAACTTGCTAGCCAAATCTAACGGCTTTCTTTCTTTTCTTCCTCCAGTTCTTCTCTGCGTTTAGATGCGCCGTGTGTCGTCCCAAGTTGATTTTTATGACAAAGCCAAGCGTAAAGCTGAACGCTGATCAGCGAACCACTCTCGTTACTACCTTGGGTGACGATGAACGAGATGGATGACCGTGCAAGTCTGGACATCATGTTATGGTGAATTCTAAGATTTCGGCGGGACCCACCGGGTTTGGCAGATATGGATGCACATTATCCGTACTACTATGTACGTTCAGGATTTCCTGAATCGTTCTTTGATCGGCTGCGAGTGCAACGTTGCCGGGTCTTTGCTGTTTGACTCGGTTAATACCATTCGTGAGTGGAACTTCTGAACAGAGCGAACCATTCGTCGTTGGCCCACAGCGTCGTCTGTACGCTATCACCCATGATTCTTCAGTGTTGAATCATGGCTGAGCGCAGTTGATGTTGGGCATCGATCGACATGGTGACGGGTCTGAATCCGCACATACTGCGCAACTCAGTGGCCACATAGTTGGGCCTTTTCAGAATCCCTGTCAGAAGGGAAATAGGTCAGCAATATTCGAAGGAAAGCTAACAGGTGGATGGAAGCTTGGGAGGAGAAAAACTCTATTAGCGACTTCGACCCTGTTTTGCGGGGAACTAGTTGACATAGCCGCGCTACAATGGGGGTCCGAGCTAAATGGACCAGCAGGGGGATAGTAGTCATCCGTGCGTGTGACTTTTGATCGACGGTAATGGGACTCTGTGGTCCACACTTGCTGGGCAGTAGGCTTTGCATGCCCGAAACTACTACTCTGCATTCAACTAATACAGAGTCTATTGTATATGTACATGGCCTACCTTTGAGATTGTTGCTTTTACTGTGGTGTTTCTCTACCTACACCCGGTTACACCTATGTAATATGCAGTCATACGGATACACCGCGGCGGGAGGAGGAGCAAAGCCAGACGGATTGATGCCGGCCGCGAAGATGCAAGACATGGGACCCAGGCTGCTTGCACAGACCCTCACTCTACAATTCGACTGCATTGCGGATACAGAGTAATTACCACCAGGTACAGTTTGCTGTGCCCAGGCCCTGGCCCATGTTGTACTTTTATCTCATTTGACTTGTTAATTAAGGCACATGCTGCGGAGTGCTCGGACAAAAAGTGCTGACCGAGACCAAGAACTGTGTTTCTCTACCTTTAAGGAACTGATGGTTGGTGCGCGCTGGCTCTTGTATTGTACCGCTAAACAAATCACTATCGATTCCACTGGTAGAGTAATATCATCGTATCTAGCACCCCGCCCCCCAGCACGCACACACGAACGAACAAGATCCTCTTGTTTCGGAGGACAGATGCTAGCATTATAAAATGCAGCATAGGAGGGGCTAGAAGGAAAAGGGTCGCTCTAACCGAGCAACCTTGAAAAGCCAAGGAGATGGACCTACCATGTACTAGCCTGTCTTGGCGTAAAGGGGGTTCAAGAAGGGGGTTCACTGAGCGTTCTAGTAAAGCAGTGGAGAGCCAATGCCGACGCCATTGCCGAGAGCCAAGGCCAGACTAGGTATAACTCCCTTCCGTCTCCCAGTTCTCTGTAGGCAGCGATGCCTAGCTAATCCATCGTCGACCTATCACTCCTCCTAGACTAATTGCATCAAGATTGGACTTCGGTCGTGCCGGGTTCCACGCGCTGGAGCACTGCCTACGACGCCTTCCACAAGCTCGGCGCACTCCAAGTCCAGCTAGTCTGTGTGTTAGCCCGTTATCCGGGAGGGCTAACCAACCACGGCGAGTCTACTAGCTGCAGGTTTTTCAGCGCGTCGCCCTTAACGCCGCCAGCTAATCCTGCCGACATGACAAGGGGCAGTCCTGTCAATGTCTGCGCGCCGCCCTAACGCAGGCGGGGCCAAGACATCCGTACCATTGACATTTTGCCCGCGCCAGTAACAACAGTCAGTCGTACTCTGGATGCCCGCACGAGTGCTGAACACTGCGATTAGCCGTGTGTGTGATGCAGTGTCTTATTAATCAAAATCCTTTCCGTTCTTCGCAAAACTTCGAGTTGCTTCGGGTGCCACAACCCATGAGTGACAGCGTGAGCCCGTATGTACAACGTTGTGGGCCTCCTCGTGGTTCATCTCCCGTTATCGAGGGAGCCCTGAGCCCCAGAAATGGGCGCTGACCGAGGGAAATGGTACAACGCTCGGCTCGCGCCTCATTTTCCAGATGCAAGGAACAAACAACCATGTCTTAGTCTTCCCCGCGTTGCGCCTCTCGGTTTACGTCCCTGAAATGCATTGCGCCCATACGACACCGGTTCACTGAGGGCTACAATAATCATATAGAATCCACGAGATAGTCGGCGGTAAGACATCTTTCAGGAGGCGCCCCGGTGTCTCACCACATCGTCTCTTCTTCCTCAGTACAATCTCATCTTAAAAAGCCTGATTGCTCATAGTTACTACGGAGTATCTGCCCACTTGTGACCCTGCAAACATACTCACACTTTTGTGTGACTACGATGTATCCGGTCTTGGTCTTTTGTGCTTCGCTCATCCAGACCTGCACTTTTCCTGAATGTTCCTTATCTTGTCAGGGTAATGAGAATGTGGTTACAAGGGGCGGGTAAGACAAATATTTCTATCGCCCTCCTCTTCACAAATGGACTTACGTTCCTCTGTTAGAGGTACTCAAGAGGCGGAATTAGGGCTGATGGGTCAATACATTTCATCATAAGGCTCGATGTTCATTGATACAGACTGCCAAGTACAAGATGCAAAACAGTTACACCCCCAGAATCACATCGGCTGCTTTCTCGCTCACCATGTATACAGGCACGGCAATGAAGTACCCGGGGATCTTGGGGAAGACGCTCGCGTCCACCACGCGCAGACCCTCCGTTCCTCGCACCCGGAACTTCGAGTCCAGCACAGCCATGGCGTCGCCGTCCTTGCCAATCGGGCACGTGCAGCTCGCATGGTGTCCCCAAGCCTCGTACTTGACCCACTCGGGTAGCAGCTCGTCCGTCACGTTCTTGCCCGGCCACACTTCTGTGAAGTCTCCGCTCAGGGGGATGACGCTGTCCATCATCTTACGCGCGAGTTTCATTCCATCCACCACCGCCTGGATGTCTTTAGCCCCGGCATCCGCGTCCTGGAACGAGTTAAAGTCAATCTGCGGCACATCCCGGGGATCAGCCGAGCGTAGTCTGACGGTCCCGGCGCTGTTGCGGGAGTGGGCTTTTAGGACGAGCCAGGTCCAGTGGCGGGCATCGGCCGTGCTGGCGGCGGAGTATCCAGGGAAGTATCCTGAGAAGCCGAGGGGTGCTCCGGCGATAAAAAGGTCCGGGTCGCCCTCACCAGTTGACGACTTCTTGACGATGCCGAGACTGATGCCGTTGGAGCCGTAAACTCCGCGGTTCCCACTGGCAGCGCCATCCTGCCATCTCTTCAGGCAAGGGTCATTCGAACCGGGACGATCGAAGGTACAGCCTTGGGTGATCTGGAAGTCTGTCGGTGTCTCACTAATGACACTCGTCTCATACCCTATGCTGATGATTAATCCACAGTGGTCAACGTAGAGGGCGCGGCCTACTCACGGTCTTGAAGGTTGGTACCGACGCCAGGCAGATCGACTATGACAGGTATGTCAAAGGAGGAAAGCTCCTCCTTAGGGCCTACACCGCTAAGCTTGAGCAGCTGGGGGGTGTTGAAAGAACCGGCCGACAGGATGACTTCTGCTGTGGCGTTGACGGATCCGGCGGCCCCTTCCCCTGAGTTGCCGGATCGGGGATCCGCACGGTAGAGGCTCTGGCCTGTGATGAAGTCTACGCCGACGGCACGGGGCTTCGGGCCGCTCTGGTCGAAGCGGACCTTGGTCACGAGCGTGTTGAGCTTCAGATCGAGGTGGTATTTCCTCGAGCCATCCGCGTTCTTGGCGTTGGCGGTCGCGAGGACGAAGTCCCGGGGGCCCACGCGGATGCCACTGTCGACTGTGATGGGAACCTGGTAGAGGCCCTCAGCGGCATCCCGGCCGGGTAGGTCAGCGTTGAGGTCGCGGAGAAAGACATCGCCGAGGCCTTTGATCGTGGAGATGATCTGGCCGAGGATATTCTTGCCCATGGCTGAGGCGGCCGACACAATGACGGTGACAAGCTTGATATCCGGTAACACGAGTCCCAGATCCGTCACGCTCGTCGTGAGCCATCCGCTAAACCCGTGCCCGATGATACTGTTGGGAAGATATTTGGCATTCTCGAGGCGCTGGAAGTACTTCCGCATGTTAGAGGCGCTCCATGAGCTGTCGCCGGTCAGGGTCGCGATACCATCCCAGTCCGACCTGTGGGGGTAGACCGTGATGAGCGCGTTGTGGCTTCCACAGCCTCCGAGAGTTCCCGCTCGAGGGTACAAAATGCCAAGCGGCTCAGCGCCAGTTGGTGGGTTGAGGCCAACATACAGCTCGCCGGATGGCAGGCGGTATGTCATCTTTGAGTCCTTCTTCTGCTCCTCGGGATCGCTCAGGTGCTGGACGAAGTAGTCCCACTTCATGGGGCCGTACTCTGTCGATTGCAAGCTGAGAGCTGGTACTTGGTAAGGGATCGAGGTGCCCTGGTCGTCACCGGGCTCGATCAGCAGAACCTTCTTGCCGGCGATGGCGAGTCGGGCCGCGAGCGGGCCTCCGCCCGGCCCTGATCCGACAACGACATAATCATAGCTTGGAAGAATGTCGGCAGACTGCCGCGCGTCAAGAATTCTACTCGGGCTGTGGTATCCAGGTCAGACAGGAATGCCCACTTCAAATAGCGATTGGCCCGCGGGCATCGGGAGTGTTGGGTTAGAACTTACGCAGCAAAAGCGGTGGCCGCGATGTAGCCCAGCAGTACACCCGCGATGCGTGAACACCAACGCATGTTAAGCACAAGAGAAGCTTCGAAACTCGTCGCAAGAGGTCGGAAAACTAAGCAGTTTGAGAAGCATCTTTCGACAGAAACACATGTGCTGGCCGGTCATGATTTTATTCAGGAATTTCATCAAGGGAGAGTCCTATCCCTGACAGGGACGCGCCCAAACACGAGATAATCACGTTGTAATTTGCTTTTTACTAGACTACTGTATTCAATATCACTTGTCACCTGCCTGATTGCCCTGTGAACGATCAATACGAGCAGCGCTAAGATCGGTGGCCTGTTCCGCCTGAGACAACCCTCTCAATATCTAACGTAACATCAACTTCGGCCCAAAGAACGATTGAGGAAACCCAAGGGGGAAACAAATGATTTTATGGGGACACGGGCCGAGTTGATCCAAGCAATGACGGCACAAGCAGATGTTTTGGTGCGAATTTGGCAGGTCCCTAGGTTGATTGGGTAGCGGTTAACAGGCAGACACATTGCGGGGCTGGCATCTGTGCGCATGCGTACCTCAGGGACTTTCGCCCTGGCGGCCACCTATTTCTCCTGAAGTCAGCATTAAACCCAATGAGGCAGTATAGGGGGTATACCAGGGGGGCTAGCACAGATGTGCCTACATCTGTACCTATACATAAACACCTTGCCTACCTACTACATTAACTATTGTTTTTTTTCTCCTTTATATTACTACTATTTATTCCTTTATTAATAGTAAGGTTTATATTTTTATTTTTTACTAGGTTATCTACTGTAATATTAAAAAGTATAAATTAACTATTATAGCTAACTAAAGTGCCCTACTGCTAATTATTAAGTATAAGACCTACTAACTAAGTAATAGCCTCCTCTACTTATATTATATACTAAGTAAGGTAATTAGGTTGCTTATTATAATAGGCCTCCTCTTGTTAATAATATTAATTTAATAAAACCTTTATATAGCTCTAAATAGTAAGCCTAGAGAGGATAAGAATACCCTTATAGTTAGCTATATATAGTATATAGTATACCTTATAAGCCTTATATATCTTATACTTAGCCTTACCTTAGCCTTATATCTATTACTACTAGTAGGCGCCTATAATATTATCCTTAGTTATAGCCTATTAGAGGATATATTAGTAGAGTAAAACCTACTACTTATAAAAGCTATAGTTATATACTAGCCTATTATTACCTGCCTATATATTATAATATAAATCTAAACTATTAGTAGTAGCTACTTTTACCTTATAAAGTTTACTAGTAATTAACTTTTATATAGGTATAGGTAGGTAAAAAAGATAAGGTAAGACCTATTATTTATAAAGGACTTTACTATAAAAGTTTATAAAGTGTAGCTTAGTAGTAGTAAAGTATTTACTATTAATATAGTTAATATACTTAATAGCCTTTTAAAGGCTAAATTACTAGAGTATATAATAGTAGCTATACTTAATAACGCTATAAAGGCCTTTAAGTAGATTAGTTATTTTAGCCTAAAGTAGTAGTAGTAAATAGTTATAGGTATAGTTAGCCTAGAGGTTAAGTATTAGTAGCTAGTTATTTTTAATATAGGTAGCTTTTTTATATATTAAACTTTTTATTATAGTAGTAATAGATTTATAATAACCTAGCCTTATATAGTAATATTTTAATATAAAGATTATATAGCGTAAGCTAGTTAAGTGTTTTATAAGATAATAGTAGAAGGTTCTTTTATAGTAGATATAGTAAAGAAAGTATAATACTTCTATCTTACTATCTATAAGGCTATAAAAAGCATTATATATAATGTATTATTTAATAGCTAAATTATTAGTAAAAAAGTAATATAACTACTAGTTAGCCTAGCCTTTTAATATATATAAGTAAGTAGTAATAATATTAGTATTACTTTTTTTAGTAAAAAAGTAGCTAACTAGTATTTAGCTACCTATAGTATCTTTAACTATAACTATATAAAGTAGCTAGCTAAGCTAGTTAGTCTAGTAAGTAGTATCTATTATAGTAAAAAGGCTATATTACTATAATAACATAAGGCTAGCCTTAGAGGCCTATATAAGCCTTTTACTTACCTTATTAGTATATTAGACTATATAATACTAAAATTAAAGGTTATAGGCGTAGTAATAAGCCTTAGCTTTAGTAACTTATAAGTACTATAAATAGTTATAGCTAATAAGGTAAAGGTTAAGGTAAGCAGCTAGCTAGTAGTAGCCTATATTATATATAGCCTAGTAAGAAAGCTAATAGCTACCTATAGTTACTAGTGCCTACTTAATAGCCTTGTAGTAGCTAAAGTAGCCTTAGAGTATATAGTAGACTTTAGTAGGTAAATAACTAAGGGCAACTTACTTAGTAGTAAGGTCTTTAATACCCTATAGTAGGCAGATTTAATTAAGGCGTTTAAGTAAGTAGTTATAAAGGCCTAGGCTAACTTGTAAAATAACTACTATTATAGTAAAGTTACCTATCTATTACTTAATAACTTTAGTGTATATAGGGTAACTAGTGTCTACCTATATAGTATAGTTATAGGTTATTATAGCCTTACTGCCTTAAGGCTTATTAGCTTTAGTTAACTAAAGTAGGTAGTAATAGTAAGTAGTAGTAGTACTACTAGAGGTATAGCCTTAAGCTTTAGTTAAATTAAAGAAATTACTAACAAAAGCCTATATTTATTTAAATTTAGTAGCGCCTACCTCTATAGGCTTAGTAAAGTAAAAGTATTACTTATAGTAAGTAGTAAGGTTATTAGGTATAATAATAGGGCTAGCCTAGGTCTTAGGGATATATAAGGTAAGTCTTAATAAAGTAAATAGTTAGATAGGTAGGTAAGCTAGCAAAGGGAATATTCTTACTATTAAGCTTCTTCTAAAAGTCCTTTAGGTTAAAGTTAACTATATTATCCTTATAGTTAGGCAGTAAAGGCACTTAGAGGGTTATAATTTTATTATTTAATACGTTAATTATATTAGCTTTGCTAGTAGTTAACAAAGGGATATCTAATACTATAGTAATATAAAGAAAATAATAATAATAGGGTAAAGGGTTAATTAGCGATAAATAACGTAGTTAACAATAGGTTAGCGGCAATAGGTTAGCGGCAATAGGTTAGCAGCGATAGGTTATTGACTTACTGTTGTTACGCGTAGGTGGGTAGTCTGGTTGACCCTGAAAAAACGCGGAGGATATAGTGGACCCACATTAACTGGATTGACCAATCAGAATATCTGAATATATCTATTATTTTAATATAATTAATGTTGGTTGCAGTGCGGTACTTCGGGGGCCCGTGGGCAGACCCGCAATGTGTCTGCCTGTTAACCGCTACCGTTGATTGTGACCTTAAACGAGATTGCGATAGTAGATGTCCTTAGTCGGTAAAAACTCGGCAGACGCATCTGAACGCATCAGGCAGGAGACGCTTCTAGATGAGGGGAACCTAGTAGAAGAGATACCCACTCAGGTGGTTCTTTACTTAATGATTATTGACATCCCTAGGTTCAGGAGGCTATAGACATCTATCGGTCGTAAGTAATAATTCTTGTTTTCCCAAGGGGCCGTTGCAGATGCATGATGAGCACTAATAGCAACCAATCCACTGCGCTACCACGGTACCGTACTCGGCACATGCTGCAGTTTGATTATCAAGGAGGCATGCTGAGAAGCAAAAAGAGTGCCTCAATGGTCATTTTTCAGCTGAGGCGCACATCGACTAAGCCCTCCATCTGTGGTGCTAGATCTGTTGGCATATGGGTAATGCGGCCGGAGGCAGTGGGTCACATGACATACTGCCTACCGGCAGAATCCCTACTCTTGCCTACACGCAAGGGTACTACTACACTTATACTCCTACTTTACCTTGTTAACTAGTTAACTATTAATAACTATAAATTTAACTACCTTTTCTTAACCTTTATAATATTATAAGATATAGGATCTTATTAATTAACTAGTAAAAACTAACATTAATTAATAGTTAATTATTACTAATAACTAGTAATTAATAAGGCTTACTATTATAGAAGTTTACTTAGCCTACTATAACCTAGTAGACTACTAACCTAGTTAAGTATTATTAAGGCTACTTTACCTCTATAAGAAACACTATAGTGTCTATTATACTATTAGAACCTCTTTAATAAGTAAGAATCTCTTTTATACTAACTATAGTACTATTAAGAAGAGACACTTAAGTAGTAATAATTACTACCTTATTTAATTTTCCTCTTTATCTTTATATTTATTTCTTTAGAAAACTATTCTTATTTACCTTATATATATAAAACTAACCTAGTATTATCTAGACTTATAAGTGTAAGTTATATTAAAAAGAAAATTACTACTTAATTACTACTATAAAAGTTATATAGTAATTACTACTAATTAACTTTAATAACTAACCTTATAATAAGTTAATCTAGTAGTACCTTATACTCTAAGGTATCTACTTTTATAGTAAAATATATTAACTATAAGAAGTATAGCTAAGAAATCCTTCTTAATAAGTAAGACCTTTCTATTATTTACTTTTACTTTACCTATTATATAGCTAAATAGGCTAAATATACCTTTATAGGTTATAAGCTTTAAAAGGACTTTTAATATTACTTTAATAGATAAGATAAAGCCTTCTTTAGTGCTACTAGTAAAATACTACTATTAATTTTTTATAACTTTTTTCTTAATTAAAATATTTATATACCTAAAGACTATTAATAAATTACCTTATACCTTATTACTATTATTAATAATAATAAGTTTTATATTTAGATAAATAAAGAAGTTAAAAAAGTATAGTATAAGTTAGTAATATTTAATAAGCTTATTAAAATATATAATAGCTTCCTAAATAATATTTAATATAGTTATATTAGCCTAGAGTAGTATAAGTAAAAATAGTAATAGTAACCTATTACCTATATAACTAAATAAAGCCTAGTAATATTTATAAACCTTAAGTAATAACTAGTAATAATATAGGCCTATTTTAATAAACAAGTGTAGAAGTTATAGTAGTAAAAGTAGTAAACCCTAGTATTACTATAGTAAACTTAATCTATATAAGATTTACTACTTCCTTTATATAACTTAATATAAGGACTATTTTAATAAAGTAATAGTTTATTATTTTTCTTTACCTATTATTAATTATAGTAAGAACCCTTTACTTACTTATACACTAATCTTATAGAACCCTAAGGCATAGGATAGCTACTACTAATTAAGAGTAGTACTACTAGTAATTATTCTTTTCCTTAGTAATTAGGTACCTTAACTAAGATTATTACTAATAAATCTAAGTATATATTATATAGGATATTACTAACTAACACTGCTCTCTAGAATAATGTTACTTATTAATCTAACCTTTACTCCTAAATATAGATACTTATAGTAGAATCTACTAAGTAAAGTAATATTTAAGGAATATAGAT